GTTTTTCCTGTTAGGCATACTTCACAAGGGTATCAGAAGGACTTTCCGCCTACAGGTCTCTCTGTCTACATAATTAAGGAATGCCTAGCTAATGGAAATTTATGTTCCTTCTAGCCATTATAACAAGAGGAAGATTAATGGAGATACTGGAAGAACTGTATTTGGAAAAAAAATCCTTCTTCTATTCTTTCCCAAAGCTGTGCTAACTCATATTTATACTTTGAAGATTTAATTTAAAAACTCTAAAAAAATATTTTGTGCTTTTCCTTTGAGATAGAGTCTTTGTAGCGCATGGCAGCTTCCAGTTCACACGGTAGCTAAAGATAATCTTGAACCCCTGATGTTCCTGCCTCCACTCTTCTTCAGTTTCTGGGACCACAGGCATGCACCAAGTCTGGCTTTGTACAGTAAAAACTTTTAATGCATTCTTGATATGTAGGATGTTGGGGAGATTAGCATTAGGTATTGAATATTTTCACTAAGAGGGAAAGAATCCATCTTCACTATATAGGGTTGTTCTTTGAAGAAAAAGTATGAGAATGTAATTTGCTTATCCTGACTTTACAAAAAAAAAATAACCTGTAAATTAGTTTTTAAATTGTGTATCACAACTTGGTTGATCTGTCTAAAATGATCTACTGGCATTTGCTTAAGAATAAAAACCCCCAAATCTTTCTTCTACTTTTTAGAAGGATTTTTTTTTTAAATTAGAAAACAAGTTGCTATCATTAAATGATGGCTTTTTTTTATATAGATAAAATGCAAATCAAGGATGTAACCAGTTGCGATTCATTGCAAGTAGTCAAGGGTAACTAACTCCTAAGGGCAACCATTTGTATCTTATACAATAATTACTTTATAGTTTGAAAAGCACTTTGCACACAGTTCTTGTATATAAAATATGTAATTATAGGATATAGTGGTAATGCTTTAAAACATGAACCTCATTTTAAAAATGACAGCCACGGTATTTTTTTAATGATCTGCCTTTCTGTTTATTGTAAAACTAAGTTAAAAATAAAAGGTTAATGAGAAATGAAATGGTTTTTGTTACTTTGTTAACTGTATTGATTGTGTACAAAGCTAAAGTGAGAACATAAAGTAGTTCATATATAGTAATCCTGAATGGCAGGCAGGAAATAAAACTCTTATACATGCCAAGCATCTGGGGTACAAAGGTACAATTCCAGTACCATGCAAAAAGAGAAGTTCATGAGACTAAACAAAACCACAGTAGTGTAAATAATTTGATAAACATTTCAGAAATGAATGCAATTTAACTGTTTGTCATCTGATTGAGGATGTTAGTAATATACACAATTAAGGAATGTTATGTTTTTTAAATTAGTTTTTAAAAAACAAGATAGGGTTTTACTATTTAGCTCATGCTGGCCTCAGCCTTGAAGCAATCCTCTTGCCAGTTTAAGTTTCACAGATGTTAAGCTGGAAAAGTAAAGGTACAGAGTAAGGTTTGCTTAGACTCCTCTGGTGCTGTCTCTGGCCTCACTACAGAGGTCTCCAGTGAAGGGGCATTTATACCTACCCACATACAGACAGATGATTTCCTAGTATTCACTATTTCACCTTGACTTCAGCCTAAACAATGTTTACACCAAACAGGCATATTTGGGGTGACATTCTGTTTCTTCAGATAGGTAGATTTCTGTGGGGAACAATCAAGACCATTTATCTCATTGTTTTGGTTTTTCTTTTACAAGCATCTGAATGTAGTTTTTGGACAGGTATAAATTTAGAGAAATCATTTATTTCCAGTAAATACCATCACAACCTGGTGGCAGACTATTAGGTGACAGTAGCTGCATATTTCTGTGATAACAAACTATAATTTTCTACTCAAGGGCTGTGCTGTCTTGTTTTATCTCAAACTTGACCCAGGCTAGAGTTATCTGAAAGGAGGGAAGCTTAATTGAGAAAATGCCTTCATAAGATCTGGTTGTAGGGCATTTTCTTAATTAGTTAACTAAAGGGGGGAAGGCCCAGCCCATTGTGGGTGGTGCCATCCCTGGGCTGGTGGTCCTGGCTTCTATAAGGAAGCAAGCTGAGCAAGCCAGTAAGGAGCACCCCTCCCTAAGTTCTGCATCAGTTCCTGTCTCCAGGTTCCTACCCTGTTTGAGCTTCTGTGATGACTCCCTTTGATGATGAACAGGGATGTGGAACATAAGCTGAATGAGCCCTTTCCTCCACAACTCTCTTTTTTTCATGGTGTTTTCATCATGGCCATCAAAACTCTAAGACAAGAAATAAGTCCAGTGCAGTCATGTTTCTGGTTTGCATATTTTTGGGAGTGCGTGTGCTCATGTCACAGCACATGTATGGATGTCAAAAAACATTCACAGTCCTCTCCTCCCACTGTGTGGTTCCTGGAGACTGAACTCAGGTGCTCAGGATTAGTGGCAAATGCCTTTACTTGCTGAACCACTTGCTGGCCCTAGTTTTTGCTTTACCTCATTCATGTAAATAATCTATATTAGTTACTTTTCTATTGCTATGATTAAGGTAACATGACCATGGCAGCTTATTAAAAAAAGAAGTTGGGGTTATTGAGATTGCTCAGTGGTTGAGAGTACTGGCTGTTCCTCCAGAGGACCTGGGTTCAATTCCCAGCACCAACATGGCAACTCAAAACTGCAACTACAGTTCTAGGAGTTCTGACACTTTCACCCAGATATACATCCAGGCAAAACACCAGCGCATAAAAAAAAAAAAAAAAAAGTCTTGTTGGGCAGTGGTAGTGTAGGCCATTAATCCCAGCACTCAGGAGGCAGAGGCAGGTGGGTCTCTGAATTTGAGGCCAGCCTGGACTAGAGAGAGAGTTCCAAGACAACCAGGGTTACACAAAGAAACCCTGATTTGAAAAAGACTTTATTTGGATCTTACGGTTTCAGAGGGGCAGAGTTGACGATGGTGGAACAGAGGTAGCAGGCAGAGGACTTTTGAAACAGTATCTGAGTACTCACATCTTAACTACAAGCAAGGGCGGAGAGCACGCTGGGAGTGACTTGAGTCTTTTGAAACCTCAGTGTTCACTCCCAGTGACATACCTCCCAATTCTTCCCAACAGTTCCATCAACCAGGGACCAAGTATTCAAACATGAGCCTATGGGGCCATTCTCTTTTAATCAGTCACACAGTTAAAAGAAACAACAGTGCTAGAACCTTAGGTTAGATAATCTTGAAAGCAGAAGTAATTTAAAAAAAAAATCACATTCTGTACAGATAGGTAATGAAAAAGGAAACATAAATGTGCAAAGTGTTTATGGTTTACTCTGTCAATGAAAAAAACACCACCAACTACTATGAAAATAGGCCAGCTTACAAAAGAACCAAAAAAAGTAGAAAAAGTCATTTCATATAAATTTATTCATCTATGAAGAGAACTTGATATCTTCCTGCCCTTCTCTTTGTATATTCATATCTAGAACAGTGTTTTCTTTGTATAAATGCATCCCTTTTTATTCAGCCATCCATTTACAAGCTTTTCTACTTCAGTGCTATATTCATCTAGCCCCAGGAAAGCCAGGACCCCTCAGTAATCCACAGCAAAATTTAATTTTACTGTAATCAGTTGTCCAATGAAATGATTTAAGAAGCAACTAGGGGCTTACTTCTGCAGACTCATTACAATCCTCATAGCTGGGACCCAGACCTGCCAGAGGCCAGACTCCTCTGACTTCTAGTTTGTTTCTAAATTTGGCTCTGCTTATTCTAATTCTACAAAGTAGTTAGTATTTGTGTGTGTGACTGGGGATTAGACACAGGGTCCTTTGCATATGGGTAAGCATTTGTTATCTTCAGTCTCCAAAGTAATTACATCATTCTCCAATATATTAGTACTCAATTTTATCCTGCCCATATCATTGCAACCGTTAACCATTTTTTTATTCCAAAGGCTTTTTTTCTTTCTACTACTTGAAAACACTATAAAAGGGTGCTACAGATAGATTGTAAATAGATTGTAGAATTATGCTGTCACCTGAAAGTGACTCATATTAGATGAAGTTGTCGTAACTATATTTTGAATATTTTGATATTAAAAAGGAGACGGGACCACTAAGTAGTCATTACTAAAGTAGGCGCAGTAAGGACTCAATCCCCAGCACCAGTTATGCTACGCATGTTGGTGTAACAGATTTCTGCTTCTCTCATCTTTGCAAACTACATTATATCTGGGCTGTGACTAAGTGTGATGGAACATAAAAACACTAAAGTCAATGTACAAGAACCTTACTTAGGACATATTTAAATCAACTTTGCTCTTCTAGAGAAAAGCTGAAAGCCTCAATTAGTTTAAGATAAGACTTGTGAACTGATTCTTAGTACATATTCTTGGAAAGAACGATGCTCAAAATCATTGGTTACAGTTATATTTACTAAGCAGAAGTAGTTATTCCTCTTTGTCTCCGATGATGTTAGAAACGATATAATGTAAAGTATAATATTTTTCTATTAAAACTGAACAAACTATTAAAATCTCTTAGAGCATCATACCCAACCTTTCCAGTACTCCTTTAAACAAAGAAGAATTGTAGAAAGACAACCAAAAGTTTCAAAACATTGAAACTGTATCATTAGTAAGATAAGTATAAACTTTAGTTCTTTTGTCTAGTCCAAATTCTGCAAAGTCATATTGCTGAGTAGTAGAAGTTTCTAAGTTTTACAAGGCAGGGTTCTGCTAGGTAGTTCTGGCTGGCCACCAGCTCAGGAGACCTGGCTGGCCTTAGTCTTAAAATTGCAGTCATTCTCCTGTCTTGCACCTGCTCCTGATTATGGGGATTCCAGGTTTGCACTATCACGTCTGGCTCAAATGGTCTTGATAAATCTTTTTTCATGTCTTGTCTTTTCATGGTTTGTCTTTAATGACAGCTATGAGAACAATTTTGCATGTAATCATGTGCAAATAAATTAAATTCAGATGAAATGGTTCTTTTTTGATGTTAACACCAAAGTGAACAGAAACACGAAATCAGATTCTGGCTTATGGCTCATGGCCTCTATTTAGAGTGGTAGTGTCGTTTTAGTTTATTAATACGTTGGTCTTCATAAAGTGCAGTAAATAAATAAGGTAAGATGATTTACATACAGTTCTAAGGTAAAGATTACTGATTATATTTCTCACAGTATTTTAACTCTGTGAAAGCTGTTGTATTCAGTAATTAAAAGCTCATTACCCTAGGTAAAATAATGACATTTAGACCAGTCTAGTATTAAGGAACAAAAGCAACATGTGCTACAGACTAAACCCAGATATAGTCAGGTGCTGAGCATTATTCCTGGCTTCAAAATAGGATGTATCTGTTTCATCGTCTGGTTGGGGTACGAAAGGCATAGTCTGATGCTGCAGATTTTCCCAGTCCACTTCACTGAAGAGAGGATGATGCTTCAGTTCTTAAAGGGAAAATATATAAAAACAAAATAAAAAAAAACAAACAAAACAAAACAGAATATTCTGATGCCATTACTTAAATCTGCTTTCAGGAATTAAAAAGAGAATGTCTTGTATGTATCTTGCATTACTTTATTATACTACTCTCAGTGATACTTATTTAATGAGTCTTCCTATTAAGCTACATATTTTATATATTGTGTCATTTTGCATATCACCTGGTACATTATAGGTGCCTGCTCTGTATTTGTCAAGAGGATCTTTCTTGATGCCCGCATCTTCTCATACGATCCCTCACTTGAAGATGGTCTGGCTTGCTTCCCTACCTCTGGAGCTTACAATTAAACCTCCAATTCTCATTTCACCTCCCTAACTACCTGTCATATCATGGCAATCTTTAAGCACTATGTATTGTCCTAAACAACTTAAACATGAAGTTCATCTTTCACTCTTTGTTTTCTATACCTCATCTTCACAGCACTCTGTTTATGTCAGACTCTTCACCTTTTTTAGTTGTTTTACCTTGAGACCTTGTTTATATATTTCTGGCTGTCCTGGAATAGGTCTCTCTGTAGACCAAGTTGGGCTCAAAATGCCTGCCTCTGACTCCTTAGTACTAGGATTAAAGTGTGTCTGACCAGGCCTGGCTCGTCTTCACATTTTTATTACTTCTACCTACTAAAAAACAAACAAACAAACAAAAAACTATGTTCACTTGTTGGACTATACTGTGATACTTAGTTGCTAGAAAGAAGCTCCCTTTCTTTAATGCTTGACCATTTCTTCTTTGTAGTGCTGGTAATTGATTGCAAGGACTGGCACATGCTAGGCAAGTGTCTACTGTGGGCCTACATCTCCAGCCCCAACTCCTCCTCACTCATCTATTGAGGAAACTGCCTTTTTTTAATTTTAATTTTTTTAAACTATGGAGCCCTAGTTTGGCTTTGAATTCATGGCAACTGTTGTGTCTCAGGCTCCCTAAGTGCTGGAATTACAGGTATAAGTCACTATGACCAGCTTTCTACCCTTTACCCTTTAAAGCAACAGTATACATTTAGTAAATAAAGATGTGACAAGGCAGTAAGTAAATAAAACCAAAAAGTATCAACCTTTAAGAAGAATATTGGAAGGTGATTAATACTTGTATTGAGAATGTTGATTTAGGAAATTTATACACCTATAAATTGTTTTTCCTCTAAACTAAAAGATACAATATAATATTGTTTCTGGTACCTCATTGAAAGTTACAAAATTTATTGTCTGAGTTGCAGCTACACTGCACTGAGTTTTAAGCTGAAATAAAGACAAATATACAAATGCATATCTATCATTTTTCACTGAGCAGTTAGATTACTGTACTAGAACCTGATGGTACAATTACTTTGGGGAATCAAGCAAGTGTAAAGTAACCCTTACCTTTCATTCCAGCTCTTTTTGTATCATCAATGGTTAAAAGTATGTCTATTGCACTTTGAGCATTATCAGATAACTTTTCTTCACTTTCTGGCCAAGGGATATCTAGAAATACAAATACACAAGTAAAGTTGTTTGACTTTTCCTTGGAGAGGTTGACACCTATATTCTTGGTGTATTTTTTTTTCTTTTGAGTGCCTTTTTCCTCTCATAACCCTCTGATCCTATGCTTAACTGCATATTAAAATGCCTTTATTAAATAAGATTTTTAATCATTCTCAACTAATAGAGATAAATGAAGTTTTTGTTCTAAGGATGGAATTAAGGGTCTTTTGTATGCTAGACAAGTGCTCTACCTCTGAGCTGCATCCTCCAACTTTGAATCTATCTTAATTGAACAAAAAAAAAAAAAAAAAAAAAATCACCTCTTTTTAAAATATTCTGGAATACTTGTTGTGGAGTTTCATCATTGAATGGGGGAATTCCTGTTAGAAATTCAAACAAGCAAACTCCAAGTGCCCACCAGTCTACTGCAGGACCTGGAATTTAAGAGGAGATAAATTGAATTTGTAAGTATTTTATACAAGTGTTTTACAAGTAAAACAGTATATTGATACATGAGCAATCAAGGCCTTCTAGCTTTAGGGCTTCTTTCTCCTGTTTCTGTCAGTACAAAAATGCAAATTACCTTCAGTCAGACAATGGGTTAACCATCGCTTTAGCTTTCAAGAGACTTAGATTAGAAGTTGCCACAAATACTTAAAATTTAAGGCTACTTTTAAATTTAAGGCCACTTTTTGGTTGGTTAATAACTTCTGTTGTTAAAATATTTTATGAATGCCAGATTTTAAAATGCAGTGAAGAAGTATATTTACACTAAAGAATATTTTCTGAAGTAGACTTTTTAAGTCAAGAAATAACAACATAAGCCGGGTGGTGGCGGTGCAAGCCTTTAATCCCAGCATTCCTAGGGGGCAGAGGCAGGCAGATCTCCTGAGTTTGAAGTCAGCCTATCAATAGAGAAAATTCCAGGACAGCCAAGGCTACACTGAGAAACCAAAACTCAAAAAACCAAAAAAGAAAACAACAATAACAACAAAAAACCCCATGACACTTAAATGATACTGTATTTCACGTGTTTCACCCAAGGTATGACAACAATATTTGTACTAACTGAAGGAAAGCCTGGTAATCACTGAATGCCCTAAATAGAGGTTTACTATGTGTTTTGTTGATGCAAAAATATAGTTCTTACCTATTCTGTAGCCAAATTTGAATGAGCACAACTCAGGCATATGGATTTAGTATACCTTGAAGGACATGTCCCGGGTCTGAGGAGAGGGTTCAGTGGTAAGAGCACTGGCTGTTCTTCAAGAGGGCCTGGGTTCCACTCCCAGCACCTACATGACAGCTCACAAGCATCTGTAACTCTAGCTCCAGGGAGTTACAAATCCAGTACATTCTTGTGGCCTCAATAGTCACCAGGCATGTACACATGATGTACATACATACATGTGTACATGTAATGCAAAACACCATACACCTAAAATAAAGTCTCAAGAAAGAAAAAAGCATGTTCCACTGTAGAAGTGGTTACATGCTGCTGTATCAATTACAGAACAAAGAAAGTTGTAAGTCAGACACTGACCAAATATGCTGATGGTGCGCACAGGGAGTCATAGAAAAGCAGAAAAAAAACCTCAGTTACTGTTTTCAGATGCTATCTGATGACATTCTTAAGCCTTTGTATTGTGGAAGCTAGCAGTTTGCCAAGCATGCACATTGTTTTCTTTGCTTTAAAGTTTTTTTTTTCCCCCTGAAACACATTTTAAAGGTTTTGATGGTCACAGGATGTTAGGCCAGACACACAGGTGGGCAGTGAATGGCTTTCAAAAGCACTAAAAATAGCCCAGTTTGGCTCTGGTCTGTAATATCTTAACTTTCCTTAATCACAATGTTCAGTCATTTGGTCTTGTAGAATCTCTAACACAGATATGGACTTTATTTCTAAGAAGTTCATTCACAGGTTCCCATAATGGTCAAATGATCACATTTTGTGCAGGCAGAGGCCAAATGCTTTTGTACCACAAGTGTTGGAAGCCTCATTCATACTGTCTGAAAAATATCAGATAACCTCAGTCTGATTGTTTTTTTCTTTTTATTATAGGATTAATATGCTTATAATTAAAATAATTAGGAAAATAGACAAGGTGGTACATACCTTTAATCTCAGCACTCAGGAGGCAGAGTCAGGCTGGTCTCTGAGTTCAAGGCCAGCCTGGTCTACATTGCAAGTTCTAGGACAGCCAAGCCTACACAGAGAGCCTTCTCAAGTTCCCCATTATGGTAGGTAAGGTATGTAGGTAAGTTTTTACAGTGCTTGCCTTTGTTGTATGAAGCCCTGGGTTCAAGTCTTAGCATTCTAGAGCTGGAAGCAGAAGGATAAGAAGTTCGAGGTGATCCTCAGTTACATGATGAGCACCACATATAAAGAGTAGAAATAGGATTATATCAAAGATGGCCAGGAAACTACCACAAGCTTGCAAATCACGGAAGGATTGTCCTTCAAGTTTCAAAAGTCTACTCTAGACTTCAGACTTTCAGATCTGTGAAGCATACATTTTGGCTGCATTTTGAGCCACTTGATTTGTAGTATTTTCTGATATCAACCCTGGCAGTTCACTTCAGAATATAGAAAGAAGATTTTTTTTGAAAGAGAAAGGAAGAAGAGTTCGAGGCCAGCTTTGTTTACATGTAAAACCCTGTCTCAAACAGCAAAAATAAACAAAACACCACATGCCCACAGTGTGGATGTTATGGGAGAAGCGGAACCATGTGAATACAGATCAAAGAAATTTAAAACAATTTCACATAAAAGCATAATGCAGCCGTTGATAAATGTGAGACCTAAGACACATACTATATACCTTACCATGGGCTGTACCCAGTAAGAGCTCAGGTGCCAGGTAATCTGGAGTTCCTAGAATTCGTCCATCATCCACTGGTCCTGCCCCTCTTCTCACACTTTTTGGAGTTCTGTATGATGTTCCCAACTTGACCTGATTTGGTGTCTGCTAATTCAAGGAGAGTTCAAGAGACAACAAATCTGTTAATTTTTTAAAAATGAACAAAAGTATTGAAGCAACAAGAAAAAGTCTCTATGTATAAAAGATGTGTTCAAATCCTTGATCAGGAATTAAAAAACAGACTCATGCTAGTTATAATTATGAAAAGGTCCTTATCTCAGATAACATCAATTATTTCAGTAAGACATGATTATAAAAAAAAAAGATTAAAATGCCCAAGAACAAAATTTTCTTTTCTTTTGAAATAGTTTTACAATATAGCCCACACTGACTTCAGACCCATGATCAGCTGCCTCAGCATCTCAAGAGTTAAGATTACAGGTTTATAAGACAGAGCATTCTCAAAGAAGAATATCGAATGGCAGAGAAACACTTCAAAGAAATGCTCAACGTCCTTAGTCATCAGGGAAATGCAAATCAAAATGACCCTGAGATTTCACCTTACACCCATGGGTAAGATCAAAACCCATGGGTAAGATTTCACCTTACACCCATGGGTAAGCATGATAACACATGCTGGAGAAAGGGGAACCCTCCTCCATTGCTGGTGGGAGTGTAAACTTGTACAACCACTTTGGAAATCAATCTGGCTCTTTCTCAGACAATTAGGAATAGTGCTTCCTCAAGACCCAGCTATACCATTCCTAAGCATATATTCAAAATATGCTCAAGTATACAACAGGGACATTTGCTCATCCATGTTTGTAGCAGCTTTATTTGTAATAGCCAGAAGCTGAAAACAACCCAGATGTCCCTCAGTTGAGGAATGGATACAGAAATTGTGGTACATTTACATAGTAGAATACTACTCAGCAATTAAAAACAAGGAAATCATGAAAGGTGGGAACTAGAAAAGATCATCCTGAGTGAGGTATCCCAGATGCAGAAAGCACACAGGGTATATACTCACTCATAAGTGGATGTTAGACATATAATATAGGATAAACATACTAAAATCTGTACACCTAAGAAGCTAATCAAGAAGGACAACTCTGGGTAAGATGTTCAATCCTCATTCAGAAAGGCAAAGACAATGGACATCAGAAGACCGAGAAAACAGGGAACAGGACAGGAGCCTACCACAGAGGGCCTTTGAAAGTCTCTACCCTGCAAGGAATCAAAGCAGATTATGAGACCTATAGCCAAACTTTGGGCAGAGTGCAGGGAATCTTAGGAAAGAAGTGGGAAATAGTAAGACCTGGAAAGAACAGAAGCTCCACAAGGAGAGCAACAGAACCAAAAAACCTGGGCACATGGTCTTTTCTGAGACTGATACCCCAACCAAGGACCATTCATGGAGATAACCTAGAACCTCTGTACCTATGTAGCCCATGGCAGCTCAGTGTCCAAGTAGGTTCCCTAGTATTAGACACAGGGACTGTCTCTGACATGAACTGATTAGCCTGCTCTTTGATCCTCCCCCCCCCCCCCCCCCCCCCCCCGCTTCACGGGGATGCAGCCTTACCAGGCCACAGAGGAAGACAATGCAGCCACTCCTGATGAGTGAGACCTGATAGACTAGGATCAAATGGAAGGAGGATTTCCCCTATCAGTGGACTGGGGGAGGGGCATGGGTGGAGAAGAGAGAGGGAAGATGGGATTGGGAGGGGAAGAGAGATGGAGCTACAGGTGGGATACAAAGTGTAATTAAAATTAATGAAACTAGTAAAATAAAAATAATTGTAATTAATAAAAAGAAAAAAAAACTGACAGTAATCCACTAAAGGAATATACCTGGACAGCCTAGATTGATACAAGTAAGAAAAGCTATGACTGGCAAAATGATTGAAAAATAATGAGACAACATGTGAGATAAACCAAGTAATTGTCACTTTTTTTACTAAGTGGCCTTTAAAGGTTTTGAAGGTAACTGTTGTTTAATATCAACCTTGTGAAATCAGTACCAGAGAGGCTTTCATCCTAACAGGCAGCTGGAAATAGGCACTGAGGTTAAGGGACACCTAAGCCCTTAAAGGAAAACCCAAACGTTATAATATACATTTGGAGCTTTATCTTTTTATAATGCTCTCTTTAAAGGAATAAAAGAAATGGAAATTCTGATTTATTACAAGTATAGAAAATTGAGACAAATAATGTTTGAAATATACATGTTAGAAAAAGTAAGATTTCAATTTCATATTTCAAAGTATGTTAAAATCAGTGAAAATATGTATTTTCTTAGAAAAGCATAGCTATAAAAATACTCAGAATAATAAACATTATTATCAGCTTTAGTTTTGTTCATGAGAAGTTTTCAACAAAACTGTGTAGTTAATATCATATAACCTAGCTGAGAGGAAAGTATGTATCTTAATAGGTTATTATTCTAATGAATAAAATGCTAAAAGACTGTAACATACCACTGACATAAAGGACCTTCCTTTCTGAGTAGGGGTCACAGCCATGGGATATGAGCCATTGTAATCACAGGAAATGTCCATAGCATCTAAAGAAGTTATGCTCATCTTGGATGGTTCTGAGTTAATGGATGCATTAATATGACTGTTAAAACTTCGAAAAGCTACAACATTTGTTTTAGAGGCTAATGTTTTCAACACCTTTGAAGGAGCTAACATTTGGCTACTGTCTTGGATAGAAGAATGCCAATCATCTTTTGGCAAGGAATTTTCTTGGCACTTTGGTAACACAAGTACATCTTCATTATTTGATTCTTCAAATGAGTCTTCTTTGACGCTTTTATCTGGTTCTAAGTTCTGAATTTCCAGTGAACTTTCCATCATAGAAACTCCAGGAAAAGATGAATCTGAATCCACACAGACAGTTTTAGAAGCTCTATCATCAGAATATACAAAATTAGAATTTAGGCAGTCCTTTTTACTAGTCATCTCACAATCTTCATCTAGTTCAGACATAAGGTTTTTTGCTATCATTGGTATATGCAGTTCTTCTGGGGTTTGTTTATCAGTTAAATAGGTGACAATGTTCTCCTTATTAGCATAGTCCTTTTGCTGACTTCTGCAAAGTGATAGCTTAAGGTTCTGGACTTCGGTTGTCATGCCTGTATTTTGATTTGCATAGCAACCTATCCTTTCCTTACTGTGCTCATTATACTCTATACAGTTCTTTTTACTGTGTATAATTTCCTGACAAGGACTGGAGTCAACCAATTGGAAATTTCTTTTAAAATGTCTTTTACCAAGTTGTTCTTCAGACATACCACTAGGTTTTACAGCCGATTGATTGGACTGATGGAAACCAGACTGTCTCGTGTCAATGGCCATGTTCTCATTATTTATATCCAGTTCTCTTGCTTCCCAAGAGGTTTCCCCAGAGAAGCATTTCCTAGGGAGATTCATGTGGTTGCTTCCAGTGGCAGGAATGGGAGAAGGCACTAACTCAAGCTCCATTTTTGTCTCGATGGCATTTGTAGATTTTGCATGTAGCATTTCAACTGCATTCCAGCTCATCATTGTACAGCCTGATGACTTGGTACTTTCCTAAGAGGAAGAAAGTAATATTTTCAGTTATAAACCTTAGATTTTTAGAAGCTTCTAATCTATGATTGTCTATATGTGATAAGCAATTCAATGAACTAATATGCTACCTTTTCCTGTTTTAGATAAAACAGAAGAATAAAAACAATTACAGTATGGGAAGCTTACTATAGTACATTGTTTACAATTCATTGTTTCAAATGAAACATAGGTTAAAATTTAATAAGTTATGCCCTAATACTTATTCTTATAGCATGCTACATGATATTATACAAGAAAAATTAACAATATATTCAGACAGATTTTAGGGTAGGGTTAATATTATAAATATAGTACATTATCTATACTGCAATAGGGATATGGTAATTTGGTTTAAAAATGGCAAAATGCAAGAGTAAATTCTAATAACTGAAAAATTACAGACCAAAAATAGTTAACATGTGTCACTATATGAAGAATTAAATAAAACCAGGAATACCTAGGAATTAAAATCCACTGTTGGGGCTTTGGATGTAACTCAGTGGTAGAGCATGAGCCAACAAACAAAAGTAAATAAAAGAAAATAATCAAAAAGGTCAATTAACACTGTCTCAAATACAGAATTCTTTTCTTCCTTTTATTTTTTTGAGACAGTTTCATGCATCTCAGGCCTGACTTAAACTAACGTGTAGCAAGGATGACTTGGAACTTCTGATAATCCTGTTCCCAGGGCTGAAATTGCAGGTATGTGCCACATGGCCCAATTTGGGTGATGCTGGAAACTGAGCCCAGAGTGTTTTGCCTGCTAGGTGACCACTGTACCAACTTCAGACTAACAAAATGCTTTTCTTGAAGACTGAGTTGAAATAATCTGAAGATACTTGTGTCAGAGCTTTGTATATATTGAAACTGGTACATGGCAAGTAGGATTTTTTTTTTTTTTAAATCAGGATTTTAAAAAGTTAACTTTATTCTATGTACATTGGTGTTTTGCCTGCATGTAAGGCTGTGTGAGGGTGCTAGATTCCCTGGAACAGAAGTTACAGAGAGTTGTGAGCTGCCAAGTGGGTGCTGAGAATTGAACCTGGATCCTATGGAAGAACAGCCAGTGCTCTTAACCACTGAATCATCTCTCCAGCCCCTATAAGAATTTATTAAGAATACTTTCATAGCATGAATCTTCAGCAGTGTCTAATACTACCTTATTTTCCTCCTGGCAGTATTGGAGACTAAACTTAGGATTGTGTCTAACAAGTGATACACCACAAAGATACAACCCCAACCTTAACAGTGTCTATTTTCATGTAGAAACATCAAACTTAGCAACTATCATTAATTTACTTAGTCGTGAAGAACACTTAGTTCTAAGCAAAAAAGAAAACTTCTGTATTGTAATTTCCCAGTTTTCTGGTATGAAACTGATGAGCGTGGGATCAGTATAGTATTATCAGAGGGTCCCATAGGGTCCACTATCACTCTGTGATCATAACTTTTCCACTATATAGTCTGCCAGGAAGAAGAAGGTGAAGTTAACCACAGATGGAAAGAGTGCACATTATGACCTCTAGTATATGAAAGAGAGGAAATAAGAGTTCTTGGAATAGGAATCTGTTTATTGTACAGCATATATTATCTATAGCAAAGTCTAAAGCGAAAAAGAACCAGATGTCTTGTTTTATTTGTGTTTGACTTTAAAAACATAGATATCCAACATCAATGAGAAAAGTCAGATTTCTGGAAATAAAAAGCAAATATAACCTAAATTACTTATTTTGATCTTATCAACTTTCTATGGAGAACTTATTATAATTTTACATTTAAGTTTCTATCATTTTTTTGTATTTATCAGTATTAATAAAACTTTATAGAAAAAGCAAAAACAATATGTAAATTAACTAAAATAATATTTTTGGGGGGTGTTTTAAGGCAGAGTTCCTCTGTGTAGCCCCATCCTGGAACTCACTCCGTAGACCAGGCTGGCTTCTAACTTAGCGATCCACCTGCCTCTGCCTCCTGAGTGCTGGGCTTAAAGGTGTGAATCACCACTGCTTGGCTTAAGTAAAATAATTTAAAGGACATCCACTCATTTGGCTAACAACTGCTCTGAATGAGAGACTTTAAAGGATACACCCCTATTAACTTTATGATTTTTTTAAAAAAAGATTTATTCATTATTTATACAGCCTACATGTGTGCCTCCACATCAGAAGAGGGCAGCAGATTGCACTATAGATGCTTATGAGCCACCATGTGGTTGCTGGGAATTGAACTCAGGACCTTTGGAAGAACTGCCAGTGCTCTTAATCTCTGAGCCATCTCTCCAGCTTTATGATTTAAAAGCTAATTCTAAAGAGTTTCCATTTCATCAAATGTGAGATAGGTAGTAAACAGTTCAGGAGATTATGTAGGTAGACAAACAACAAACCCTCAATTATCCAATGTCTTTATCACAAAATGAAATTAAAGTCTCCCTAGAAGCCAAACATTTTCTGTTGGTTTCCTATAACACTTAATCATTCATCATACACTAAGCAAGACTAGTGTCACAAGAATGAGAACTGAAATAAAGAGTTTACAAGGATTTAATAGAATATCCGAAAAAAAGAATTTTTTCTTCACAATTTATTCATTATATATCCTGATTGAAGCTCCCTCCCTCAGCTCCTCCAGTCCTACCTTACCTCCCTCTTCCCCCCAAGAATTTTTATACTTCAACCATACTCATGTAACAATGCCATTTCCTTACGGGTTTTCTATGGAAAGGTAAGGTGTGGGGATGATGGTTTCATATGTATATGAACTTTGGCTTACAGATACTTCCTCCTAACCTGGCAGTCTTTTTCCAATATGGGACTGCTGTGGCACTCTGACTCCACACTGGATATGAAGGTATGAGGCTGACTACCAGTACTGGATGTGCCCAGTCTTTTCCTACACTGCAGTAGATTAGAAGTCAGACACTTAGCAGGCATTTCCGGATTGGAAGCAAGGTTCTCAAGACCTGTAGGAAAAAGAAAATACTGTTTTATTTCACAGCTACTAGTTCTTTATGGAATCTGACTCTTTCCAGGTTCCAGGTTTCCAGGTTATATATTACATATTATGATTAGTTTTTGTAAGCATTACCTAGTCCACAGGATGGTAGTGTATCAGAAATTGCTTCAAATGTATGTAATACTCTGAAGGTTAAAACAAAACAAAATCTCTTTACATTTGTAAAATAAAAGCCAAGATAATTAGAAGAAATTTGAAGAAAATTGATTTTGAGCTATAATATGATTTACTTTGAGGTAATCAATAATGGATATTTGTTGGTATGCATTATTGAGAGATGCTCTAAGATTAGAATATTACTAAATTTACCTCCCTCAATTTATGTTAAAGCTGTAACAGGACTGTAGATGTTGACATTTAAATGTTTATCAGTATGAATTGTAGAAAGCCACAGGCATTTGCTTTCTCTTTTATTAGGATTGAATTCGTGACCATGTATATGTTTAGCAAACATTTTACCAATGAACTTCACACCTACACCTCTCTATAGGGGATTCTGTTACTATGATCTGATAAGTTACATGATAGAAAACTGGCTACCAGTGGGCCCATGCAGTGAGGCAGCACCTAGAGTATACCGCTCCTTTATTGTACATCAATGGCTAGAAATGGTTGCTCCCCAGCTTTGTGTATGTGTGTGCATTTGAGCTGGAAGCCAGAGATCAGTCTGGGGCTAGCGTACCTCAGGTGCCATGCATCATCATCTCTTTTCTAAAAATATGTATTTATTTTTACTTTTATATGTATGGTGTTCTGCTTGTACATATGTTTGCACCATGTGCATGCCTAGTACCCGTGGAGGCCAGAGTGTGTCAGACACCCTGGAAGTGGAATTACAGACAGTTGTGAGCTGCCATGTGGGTACTGGGAATTGAACCCAGGTCCTCTGGAAATGCAGTCAGTGCCTTTTAACTGCTGAACCATCTCTCCAGCTCCCACTTTGTTTTTTTTTTTTTTTGAGTTAAGGTTTCTCACTGGCCTAGAGCTGGCTAAGCAGCCTAGGCTGGCTGGCTGGCTAGTCAGTCCAAGGCATCGCTGTCCCTATCCTTAGTGCTAAAATTACAAATGCCTGCCTTTTTCAAGTGGATTTGCAGACTGAAAAAAAGGTCCTCACTTTACTTTCAATTAGACACAAGACAGTCATGGTTTTCATGAATTACGTAAGGCTCTAAAAAGGTTTCAAAAGACATTCCCAGTGTGTTCTCGGCTTGTGGATAAAGATGTGAGTTCTCAACTGTTGCTCAAGCCACTTAATTTGTGTGTCCTAGCTTGCCATCATGACCTCTAACCTCTGGAACTGGAAGTCCAATTAAATTCTTAAACTCTTGTTAAGTTGCCTTGGTCGTGCAGTTTTATCATAGCAATGGAAGGGTAACTAATACATGTGTATCTTGTTTTCTTTCTATAAACGGATGAACATGACACTAAACTTTAGGAAAGCAGAGCTTTATAACTTAGTAAACAATCACATTTTACAACTAGAAAAAGAATTTCATTTCAAAGTCCATCTAATCCAACTTAATTTTTCATACACAAATCCTCTAGGTGGATCAGGTTGGCCTTGACCTCAGAGATCCAACGGCTTCTGGGTTCTGTGATTAAAGGTGTATGCCACCATACCTAGCTTTTGTTTTTAAAAAAAGATACACTTACTTTGAAACCAGTTGTGGTGATATTTATCTGTAACTGTAGTACTCAGGCGAAGGCAAGAGCAATGACATTTAAAAACCAGTCTGGGCTAATAGAAAAACCAAGAAAACCCAACTTTTATTTTGTGTTTTTAAATATAAACTATCTCAAAATTTTTCTAAAATAAGTTTACAAGGACATATAACACTGCAGTTACTTTACTTTCTACATAGAAAATTTCCATAGATCTAAGTATAGTGAAATTCATCCAACCATCATTCCAATATTATAGATAACTGACTATCATTATTAGCAAGATGGTTTATTCTATAGACTTATAAAATCTACTGCAATGGTCAGAAATAGCACTTATGTAATAAAATATAGGAGTGCCACAGACTGAATATTTGCATTTTATGTTATTAAATACTATTAGAAATTTAAAATTTTTGAATTATTTTGTTCTTTAAGTCATACACTGAGTGGAATGAAACACCCTTTTATACTCACGTGAGTTTAGTAGTTTGCTAGGCTCCTTCTGATCTATGGACATAGGGCAGGTTAATCCTCGAGAAAGTTGTGCTTCAGACTTAGGGACCGGAAACATGTTTGTAGAGTCAGGATCTTTTTCTCCAACTGGTGTGTACTATTAAAAATGAAAATTATGTGGGGCCAGTAAGATGGTGAAGGATAAAGGCACCTGCCTCCTGATGACATGACTTCCATCCCTGGTCCTCCCATGTGGTGGAAGGAGAGCACTGGCTTCTACAAGTTGTCCTCTGCTTCCATTTGTGCACCGTAGTGCACACACCCACACCTACATGTGATAAACATGTTTTTAAAAGAAAAAGAATATTAAAGAAAAATTTAAAAACAAATACCAAGAGATTCATCTTCAGATGAATATAGAAAATAGATGCTATACCACCTGAATATAAAAATTACCCAAAGTAATGCCATTTCATGCCTGGTACTTTTGTCTATTTTATTTTTATCTTAAAGCAGGCTCTAAAAATTTAAGTGGTAATCATGAAAAGGTATTGTATGAGTTTTCCTTATTAAGTACTTACAAATCCCAAAGAACTGATGAGAGATAAGACTTGTCCTGGGGTTCTTGAATAATCTTGCTTAGGTTTAGCCATTGAGGGTGTTGTGAGAATATCCATCATATTGATGTCTATATATGCAAAGGAAAATATATATTTAAAGCCATTGCTTATCATTGAGTATATCAATAACCACATGTTCTGAACTTTGCCTGTCTTTTTATACTAGGAACTTTACCTACAAACTGGCTGGTGTAGAGTACATATATGCAGAGAACTTTATGAGTGGCAGAGGCAACATTTACAAGGAACTAACTACTTGAAATCATTAAAAGTTTGAGAAGGAGACATATAGGTCAGTGGTAGAATGTCTTGTCCAGAATAGCATGAAAAAGGCCCAGGGGTCAAGTCTCATTACTGAAAAAAAAAATTTTTTTAGAACAGTCTGTAGAATAGATGGAATATAGTGAAATAACCCAGAATGCTAACAGCTTCTTAGGAAACACTTGGTCACTATCAGTTATCTCAGCACAAGCAATTGCTACTGCTGTTGGCTGTTCACCAAAATGAGACTGTAAGGCCTTATTGCTTAGCAAATCACACTCTCTCACACACTTTCTCATAGAGAAACTACTATGGAATTGAGCTAGGAGTTTCCTGCCCTCTGTCTAGCTGTCATAGTACCAGAGTGTTAGGGGCTGCTGGGGGAGAATTATTATCAACTGTTTTATTCAGCTCTAGATGCTGTATACAATGCTGCTGCCAGATCAGGCCAGACACGCCCATTGGTGCAGTAGTGGCAAGGATGTTGTGGGGTAACTTAGCATTCTCTGAGTGGATTCAAGTCCGGCTCTGAGGGAGAGAATCCTTGTCCGATAGTCTAAACTTGGTCAAAGGTTCATGGCTGGGGATGTCATAGGTCCTGGGGAGGGGGAAATCCCTACTGCTCTTATTGTGACAAATGGATCTGATAAAATTACCTTCAAAGTAATTATGTTTATGCCCATAGATAATTGCTGCTGTCAGCTCTGATTAAAGCAGTGTATTTTTATAGTGGGCTCCGTAATTACAGATGCTCCTAGCTGAAGTGATGAGAATAGTAACTGTTCAACACTCAGCAAGAAGGGGCCATCTCTATCACACATCCTGCCTCCAAGGTGCAGGGAACATGACAGGAGGGGCAAAGCATGCTGCTGCTGCTACAGAGGGGTGAGCTCAGTGTGGAATTCTGACTTGCAGGAATTACTATCATTTTCTTGAATTCAAGCCAACTATGATCACCTGAACAAGATCTACATAAGATTGGGCCCAAATGGAGCTCCAGGGGTCCTTTTGAAAGTGTTGGGGGAAAGATGGAAGGACCAGGAGGGGACAGGAACCTCACAAGAAGACCAATAGAGACAACTAACCCAGACCAATGGGGGCTTTCAGAGACTGAGACATCAACTAAGGCACATGCTTGATCTGGATACAGGCACACATGTACCCAATGGGTGGCTTGATCTTAACGTGGGGTGCCTGGCAAGTGAAGGGGGGTATTTCTAGTTTCTAACATGGACTGTACTGCCTGCTTTTGTATTACTGCCCTCTGGCAGGGCTGCTTTGCCTGGCCTCAGGGGATGAGAATATGCTCAGTCCTGATGTGACTTGATGTGCTGGGGAGGGTTGATACAGTGGTGGGGGAAGGCTCCCCTTTTCTAGGGGAAAAGGCAAGAGGGGAAGGGAGGGACTGGGAGTAGAGGAGTGAGGGGGCACCCTTCAGATGAAAAGTCAATAAACTGAAATAATAATTTAAAAAAAATTCGGGCCTACCAACATGATGCCAGGGGTGGCCTTTCTGAGACACTATATGCAGGTAACGGTTTCTTAGGGGTGGGAGAGAGAGAGAGAGACAGAGTCACACACACAGAGACAGACAGACAGACACAGACACAACACTGGGAAGGTCCACACTCCTGTAAACAACGCAACTATAACTAACTGGAAATTTAAGAAAACACAAAAGACATGATACATTAGAGGAACTAATTGGGAGGATGAAGGGGATCAACGGAAGTGGGGTGACAGGGGAAAGGGTGTATGTGAATATGACTAAAATACATTATAAACATGTATGAAACATGTTACCTGTTAGACTAAGAATTATAAACTCTGAAATTAGGCAAGATAAATTTTGTTATGGGAACTTTATATCAATGAATATGTAAGCTTAGGTCAAGAGAGAAATTGATCTACTTTATTAACATGTTTCAACATATTGGAATTCTCAGTTATCAAGAAGTAGAACTATTTGAAAGGATTAGGAAGTATGGCCTTATTGGAGTAGATGTGGCTTTGTGTTTGACAAAGTGTGACACTTTGGGTGGGCTTTGATTTTTCAGAAGTCCACGCCAGGGTCCAATTTCTCTGTCTCTCTCTTTCTGCCTGTGGATCAGGATGTAAAACTCTCAGTTACTCCTCCAGTGCCTGCCTGCATGCAGCCAAGCTCTCGGCTATAATGATAATGGACTTAACCTTCTGAAACTGTAAGCAAGCCCCCAGTTAAAAGCTTTTTATAAGAGTTGCCTTGATTGTGGTGTCTCTCACAGCAATAGAACATTGACTAAGATAATACTTTAAAATAATTCAACACTGAATACAATACTTTATATTAATTTAGTTAGATGAAAAAACAAGAAGTCATTCTATTTCATATAAGTCTTTAAAAAGTATGTTCATCATGGGCTAGCTCTTTGATCACCTCCACCTGATCGGGGAGCAGTCTTACCAGGCCACAGAGGAAGACAAAGAAGCCAGCTGTGTACCTGATAGATTAGGGTCAGATGGAAGGGGAGGAGGACCTCCCCTATCATTGGACTGGGAGAAGGGTATAGGAGAAGAAGAGGGAGAGTGGGATTGGGAGGGGATGGGGAGGGAGCTACAGCTGGGATACAAAATGAATAAACTGTAATTAATAAATAAATATAAAATAAAAAATTAAAAAAAAGTATGTTCAACATGCAATCCAAGCTCTTGGAAGGCTGAAGCAGTAAGATTGCTCTGAGTCCAAGGCCAAAGGAAGGCTCTTTCTTAAGACAAACCATTATACTTTATGAACACACCAATTTCATGTGTCTCACACTGAAACAGAAAAAAAAGTAATAATTATATATTTTAGACCTTACTTTTATGACTAAAAATTACCTACCAATATTATCCTTATACAGTTTTCCAGTAATTAATTAGGAGTTGGGCTTGCTTCAAAATTTAAAAATGTCTATAAGAAAGCTAATATGGTAAACATATTATGTATTATAAAACACCCTTAGTGGAACTTCACATACATTCTACAATCAGATATTACTTCTGAGGCAAGATGTATAAAAAAAAAAAAAAAAATCACACGAAGTGAGATTTAGAAGACTATAAAGTTTCTGATCAGCTCAGGTAAGACTTTTACCCAATTTAGGAATAGACTTGTATGTATTTTCACACAATTACAATTTAGAGTTTACAATATTTAGATCCAATTTTATATAACTCTTCATTTACTTAAACCTTTTAAAAAAGCTGTGTGTGGTAGCACATGCTTGTATACCTGTACTTAGGGGCAGAGTTAGAGAGACAGGAGGACTGTCAAAAGTTCAAGGTCAGCCTGGTCTATATGGTGAATTCTAGGCTAGTCAGGGATATAGAACAAGAATCTGTCTCAAAAATGCAAAACCAAGGGCCAGTGAGATGGCTCAGTGGGTAAAGGTATTAACTCACCACACCTAGTGACCTGAGTTTGATCCCAGGAATACCTGTAAAGGTGGAAGGACAGAACTCCACAAAGTTGTTCTCTGACCTTCACACATGACCCTATAGCATGCACATATACACAATAACAACAACAACAAATTCAAAAGGAAAGACCAAAAATTTCTGCCTTTTCATACAACCCTTTTGGTGTATGTGTATCTGTGTTGCTGGAGGGCAAAACTAGGGCCCTGCATATGCTAAGCAAGCATACTACCCAGAGCCATGTGTAGCATTCTCTTCTACAGCTTTTGCTTTTATTTTGTTTTTTAACCCTTTAAGTTAGAACATGAGGACTGGATTTCATCACTGCATCTTCATGCATTATGTTGTTACACTTTGTTCTTATTCTTTCCCCTTCCAACATCACTTTTCACCTCTTCTAATGTCCTCTCTCTTCATCAATACATCTATTTAAAGAAGATTTATTAAAGAGTATATGTGTGTGTGTCTGTCTGTAGGCCCAAATGCATGTGTGTGCCTGTGGAGGCCAGAAGAAGGCATCAGATACCCTGTAGCTGCACTACAGGCAGTTCTGAGTCACCTGAAGCCAGTGCTAGGAACTGATTTCTGGCCCTCTGCCTAATTGCTGAGCCATTTCACCAGTTCCTCTTCTACATTTCTTAATAGAGAATCAACTCTACTTCCGAGCTGATAATTTCTCATCTTTCCATAATGTTTTTTTAGGTTTATAAACTATTATTAACAACAAAGGCCCAGAGACTTATTTCTGCTTGGACACATGATGCACTCAGTAATGTCCTGCTTCAATTTATTATACAGTGGTGCTGCAGATCATTTCATTCATTTATATTTTGTTCTCTAGACCCACTGCCTTAAAATAAGTTCTGAAACAATAGATCAATAGACTAGGATTGTAGCTCAGTGTCAGAATACTTGCTTAGCAGCAAGAAGCCTTGAGTTCAGCCTTTAGTATTTAGAAATTAACACAAGGGGCTATACAGATGGCACTAATTGCTTTTTCAGAGGGTTGGGGTTCAATTCCCAGCACCCACATGCAGCTCATGGCTGTCTGTGACTCCAGTTCCAGGGGATCAGACATCTTCCCACAGATATGATTGCAGACAAAACACCAATGCACATAGAAATCAAATCCTGATACAGTGAGTGGCATATGTCTATAATCCCAGCACTTGAGGTGGAGGCAAGAGTTCATGATTATTTTTGGCTATTTAACAAGTTTGAGGTCAACCTAGGCTACATAAACCCAGTGTTACTCTATCCTCTTCCCCTCCAAATAAAATCAGAGAATTAAAATATTTTGTTTTCTTAAAACATAGACAAATTTTCTTTTGAAAACACTAATCCAATATATAATCACTTTAGAAAAACTGCTTTTTTGTAGTTTGCTCATGGATTAGTGTCTGTGGTAGTAATAATGTAAAATGGTTAATTTGTTTTTTATATGAGCATTTTAAAAATTACTACTCAGAAATGAACTTATTTCCACATATATATGAATGAATGGTATCTATTAAGGTCTTGGTGGTAGCAAGCTGTATTTGTGTGTTTTAGGAATCAACTCTGGATCATATTACAAGTTAAATCATTTTGTTTATGCTTAATTGTTCATCCTGTTTCAGCAGGGATAAAGAGAATAGTAGCTGTCAGTTCCATTTTTAAAGATCTAGGAGTTTTAAGGACCTCCTAAGTTCCAATGATTATCATTTTGTCTGTCTGTCTATCTATCTATTTATCAATCACCTATCGATTTTTTCTGCTTTTGATGCTAAGATTGGATCTAGTTAAGCAAACATTCTGCCACCATAGCCTCCTGTTTAAAATTTTTTTTTTAGTTTTTTAAAGGATTTATTTATTTATGTATTTTATTCTTCATATACATTAGAATCGGGAATCAGAGCCCATCATAGATGGTTGTGAGCCACCATGTAGTTGCTGGGGAATTGAACTCACAACCTCTGGAAGAGCATTCAAGTGCTCTTCACCACGGAGCCCCAAGCCTCCTAATGGGAAACAAACAAACCAAAAAACCAAAAAACATTTCATGCTAATTTCTAGCATACCTCAGAATAAATAGCCATTACATTTTATCTAGTATAAAAAAAAAGAAGTTAATGAGAGAGAGTCTCAAAATTTGTTGGGCTTTTTAAAAGGTACTTACCTTCCTCAGCTCTGGAAAAAAAAAAAAAAAAAAAAAAAAGGTACTTACCTGCTATTATTCTTACCTCTATTCAGAATAATTTTGGAAAGGCCAAAATCTGTCAGCTTAATATGACCCTCATTGGAAATAAGCATATTGTCTGGTTTCAAATCCCTGAACATACAAAAGGCAAATAGATATTTTTAAAAAAGTAGTTTTGATGTTAAAATACCAGGGAGGCTTATGTGTTTATTCACCCCTAAAGACACATACATACAAGCAACACTAAGTAGACAAAGCAGCTTGTGTTAATATTTTTATGTATATATGTATGTATATACATGTATATTTTTAAAGAGGCTAAGGGTTTGAGATGGAGCAGGAAGTATGGGAAGCATTAGATATAGGAAAGAGAGGAAAGGAATTATAAAATTAGTTATGATTTAATTAATAAAACATTTTCTAAAAGGGAAAAAAAGTACCAGTGAGGGTGGGGGGAATTACAAGAGATTTAATTAATAAAACATTTTCTAAAAGGGGAAAAAAAAAATACCAGCGAGGGTGGGGGCAACTATTTATTTCCTTTAAAATAAAAGTACTCATGAGTGGCTCAGAAAAGAATAGAAAACCGCTCTAAAAAACATCTATTACATATTAGAATATACAAAAATTTATATGATTCAATAGTAAATTCTATTTGGCATTATTTCTGGATATCTTATCCTCCTGCCAATTCAAATTTATATCCACTTCTCTAAAGCAAGATATGTTAAAACTTTAGCATAGCGGAGTCACGTAATCTCCTTCTGAAGACATGAAAGGTCTGCCCTTCAGTGGAGACCACAAAGTCTATCACTATTGTATGATGGTATGGGGGTAGAAAGAAATTAATACTTTTCACCTTAAAATGTAATATTTATGCTCAGAACAGCCATTAACAAAATAGGGATATTAAAGAAGAGCTAATGTAGTCTTCCATTGTATATTGCAACTGAGCTGTAGGTAAACTAGAAACACAAGCCAAGTAGTTTATGCATACATCATAGATTGAAGCACAATACATTTAAGTAATAATTCATAGAAAAGTCAGTGTTACCTATGGATGACTCCATGTCTATGCAGGTAGTCTAAGGCCAGTGCTACTTCAGAAATATATTTTATAGCCATCTCTTCATCAAAATAACCATATATATGTAGAAGAGACTTGACATCTCCACCAATAAGATATTCCATTACCTAGCAGAAAAGAATTTAAAAACAATATACTTGAAATATATAGTGTTTACACATTACAGTTTTATTTTTTTAGAACAGTTCCATAATGAAACATTTTGTTATCACTCACAGGCCTGAGCTTCCTATTTCTCTGCCTAGCTTTCCAAGTACTGGGATCATATACATGCATCATCATATTTTTTTTTTTTTTCTGCTGAAAAATTAAGCTGCTCAGTGTGAACAAAAATCAATTACATAAAAGTTCTAAGATTATCGGAACTATTTCTCATTTGCCAACATCTCAGTTCACAATGTTGTAGCATGGGCCAGATCTGGTTGTTTCTTCTTTACACATATTTTTAATAGTAATATTACGTATTATGCTAGCTAGTTTTTATGCCAACTTGACACAAGCTAGAGACATCTCAGAGGAGGGAAATTTGAGAAAATGCCTTATAAGACTGGGCTGTAGGCGAACTTAAAAGGTATTTTCTTAATTAGTGATTGATATGGAAGGGCCTAGTCCATTGTGGGTGGTGCTATCCCTGGGCTGGTGGTCCTGGGTTCTATAAGAAGTCAGGCTGAGCAAGCCACGGGGAGCAAGCCAGTAAATAGCACCCACCATAGCCTCTGCATCAGCTCCTGCCTCCAGGTTCCAGCTTTCTTCAGTGGACTGTAACTCAGGACCCTTTCCTCTCCAAGTTGCTTTTGGTTATGGTGTTTCATTACAGCACTAGAATTCCTAAGACACATTTAACATCTACATGCTAATAAATTAATCATTTTATATAAGTATACTCCTGTTTAAACTTTTTAATTTTAAAAATACATTAATTTCAGTAAACTTGGTATTAATATATAATTTTATTATTATTATTATTTTGAGATGGAGTCTTAATATGCTGTTCAGGCTAGTCTTGAACTCCTGGGTTTCACACACCCTTTTGCCTTGACTTCCTTTATTGCTGTAATCACAAGTACACACCCGGCTTGTGTTATTTTTCTTTTCTTTTCTTTTTTTTGCTGGATAATTTGATAATGAAAGTCTAAAAGTTAGTGAACTGTTACCCTGAAGTTTTTGTCTTGTTTTGAGACAGGTTAGTCCTCTGTGCACCTGGCTGGCCTAGGACTTGCAGTCCTCCTGCTTTTACTACTCAAATACTGAGATTGCAGGCTTATTCTGACAGCTGACTGCCATAAACTTCAAACGAGTTGCTGAACAATTACTGTGCAAGTACAGAGCAGTAAGATTCTAATATGTAGCATATATTTATATTTCTATGATCATCTCAATGTTGTCCTTTATAGCTTCTCTCTTCAGACCCCATTCACAACACATAAAACAAGGCTTTCTGTTACATCTATGTGGAGCCAGTGTCCAGTGTATGTATGTTCATCTTTCAAAATACAGGCTTGAAGAAAATAGGCTTACTTACAAAAAGACTTTTTTTTTTTTTTTAACTTGAGGTTATTTGATTATTTCCTCATGATTCCATGGTATGACTATTTGGCAGAAGTATGAAACTGATGCTCTCCTTTTTGGTGATGGTCCCAGAAGAGGCATCTACAGAGGAGTTTGAGAGTTGTCCCCTGCTCCCCAAAACCTGGGGACTGATTCTAGGATCTTGTTGGTATACACACACTCTACCACTGAGCTGTATCTTCATGCCTCTGGATCTGTAATAAAACCCAAGTCTTGCCACTGTTTGTCTGTGGACCAAATTTTGAATACCCAAGATCTGAGGATCTAAACCATTTATGAAGTTAGATATGTTGGTAAGACACTATTATCAAATGTCTAGAATAAATGAGGATGGAACTGGATATATAGCTTAGTGACAGGATTCTTCCCTACCATGTGTAGGGCATTTGGTTTGGGCCTTAGTACTACATATAAAAAAATAAACCAAAAACAAACAAAAGAAATAATAATATTATAGCTGTCTAATTATTACAACAATTCTAGAATAAAAACAGAAAGCCCCATGATGAGCAATCACACCTACCACTCACTTACTGTTGTAATAGGGCTCAATGTTATTAGATATCAAGGAGTTAAATCAGGGTCAATACTAGAGTCACGTTCATGGTCTTTACACACATACATGTAAAATAGGATGCTGTAAAAGCATCTGGAGCCTTGGGAAGAATGAAAGGATTAAGTGGAGGCAGGCAAGCGTGAAATAGCTTGCTAACCCATGATGCTGTCTGGCTTGAGCCCTGTCTGCATCTAGCTACATGGACATCCCCTCGCCAAACAAAGCTATTGGTTCACCCTGACCTATTCCGCCCTAGCTGTCCTTCCTTTGTGGCTGAACACATCTTGAAACATATCCTGAAATCAGAGGTAGTGGGCCAGTCAGGTCTACACTGGTGCAGTGAGACTATCTATGTTCTAAAAAACAAACAAACAAACAAACAAACAAACAACCAAAAACCAAACCAAAACCCTATTTATGATCATATGGCCATGCATAATAGGGCATGTAAGTAAGTAAAATCATTTTAGGAAAGAACATGCATGGTGGACAAAAGTTTATATAACCCAAACTTATCAATCAAACAGAAAACTACCCATATTTCTTCCTTAACAATCAACTTCTCCTCTTTCCGTGGACCCTGGCAGTAACCAGGTGCTTTGGAGTACACTTCTCAGTCTGCTATTCCTGTTTAGCTACCTGAACTGCACACTCACTGTGCCTTTGAATAAAATCTGCTTCTAGACTATTTGTGTGTTTCTTCAACTCTTGGAGCAAGATGCCAACATCCTGGAAACATCGAGTCCAGGCTAATAACAAGACAACTTTTCTACCTTTGGACATAGTATTCAAGGATATTACTTTTTATTCTGTGAAGAGCAAGATAATAAACTTTAGGCTTTGTGGGATTCTATTACAACTATTTCACTCTGCCATTGTGTCACTGACAAAGATGTAGGCAACATAAATACAAGGATGTGATTAGGTTCCAATAAAACTTTACCAACTGACTGAAATTCCAGTTCACTGTAATTTTCATTTATCAGAAAAGTCTTTTCTTGGTGTTGTGTGGTGGTCATGTGTGTAATAGGGGACAGAGGACATTAGGAATACTATTCTATCACTGTCTTTATCTTCTGTGACAAGGTCTCTCACTATTCTGAAGCTACTGTAAGCAGCAAACCAGTGATTTTGTGACCCTTATAGCACTAGTATTACTGGGGTATCTGTGATCACACTCAGATTTTTATATGGGAATTTGAATTAAGGTCCTTATGGGTGTGCAGCAAGAACTGTTACTCCCTGAGCCATCCCAATTCCAAAAACTAGTGTTTAAAAGTCCCCCCTCCCTAACCCTTTGTTTTTAAAGCAGAACCTCTGTCTACAGGGTGGCCTTAAACTTGTAGCTGAGCATGATCTCAAACTCCTAACCCTCCTGCCTCTATCTCCTCAGTGTTGGGATTAACGTGTATACCACCACACCCAGTTTTTGGTGCTGGGAACTGGACATTAGAAGATGGAAATCAATTTCTCTTACATTTGGTATTCATTTTCTTATAGTGAATCACCCAAAGAACAGTGTTATTTTACACTGTTTTATGACCTTTCCAAAGATACTCTCTTTAACCTTGTTGATTTCTTTTTTCTTTCTTTTCTTTTATTCAATGTAGGGTCTTCTATATAACTCAGGCTGGACTAGAACTTGCATTCTTCCTGCTTCTGCCTTCCAAGTGCAGTTATTATAGACCTGTGCTATTGTGCACAGCTTATAACTGCTTTGGAGGTAAATCCCCAGATAAAACTTTGTATCCTCACACCAAAATTAGTTCCCTAGAGTCACCATGTGTCAGCTTCATCAGAGGAGTTAATTACAACCCAGTATGGAAATTCACCTGACTAAAGAAAATAGAACCAAACAAAAACCTGAAAGAATTTCACCAACAATATAAACACCAAAGAAATGGTCAAATTCATGACCAAATACTGGAATTCTATGTTGTCGGAAAGATGTTGCTACCATTCCAGGAAACAGGCAGGACTCACTGTATGACCCCATACGCTATTCATCTGAAATGTAGCTTGTTAAAAATAAAACTGCCTTGCTTGTAAATTCCTCTTGGTGCAGTAAAAACAGACAAAAACAGTGCTCAGCCCTATGCTCTTCTTTTCCAAAACTTCTTAGATTTTTGTACAAAGATAGATCTAAGATAGATCTTTGTACCACACGTAATGGTAGTCTAAACATACTTGAAGGTTTACTAAAGATTGCAAATGAACTAAACCATCAGGTAGCAGACCAGTTTTAGACCAAGTATCATTTGATAAGGTATTTAGATGAGGTTAACATCTAAATCAGTAGATTTTTGATAAAGCACATTATTCGCTATAATAGCTCTCAAGCAATCAGCTGTTACCAGGAGAAAAGACTAAAATCCTTAAAATAAAGGGAAGCATGCCTTCAGAAGAGTTGCAGAAATGGTAGCATTAATGTCTAGAGTAACAATCTACTTAGAGTACAGTCTCTAGAGTAACAATCTACCTTGTAGCTTAGATTTCCACCTTCTAAGAGTTAAATGATAGGATTCCTTAAAATGAATCCTTCTTGCTGTGTCTTTACATATATACAAATATATCTTATTGGTTCTTTTTCTCATTAAAGCAACAGGTAAATTGGTCAAGGTCATTAAGTACCAAAGCAGGAATTCAGGTGCAAAATGTAAACACAAATACTATGTTCACAGATCACTGGGTTCAGCAACTGCTGACCTAATATAGAAGCTGTTTACGTACCAAGTAGACATTGCTGGCTGATTGCAGTGAGTAATACAGGTGCACAACGAAAGGGCTTTTGCTTAGTGCCAGCGCATCTCTCTCAGCTTGTACCTGATGAGTCATGTTTTTATTGATCATGTCCGCTTTTCTGACAACCTATAATAGAGAACACGACAAGAGACACATTTACCTTCTTTAGAAGTTTCAAAGTTGCCATCATAAAAACTCCAAAAAAGAGAAAATACACAGATGTCAGGAGACTGCCAGGAAAATAGCTTAGATGGTGAAACAAACAAATTAGAAAACATTGTTTTCAAGATAACCCTGTTTGTCTTGGGACTAAATGGCAAAAGTACCATGTACTAGAGAAAGGAAAGAAATTAAGTACCTGAGCATCTGTATGCTTGTAGGAAAGCTTTACTATGACAAAGTCAAAAGATAACAATGTCCCTAATAAGCCCTTCTGATAACCAGGAAGCTGGTAACATGAACAGGAATATGTTTATATGTATACATACACTTATACATTTTACCTTGTCATTTTTTAAAATTTATTTTATTCACTTTACATCCTGATTACAGCCACCCCCCTCCCACACTCCTTTCCCCCATTCTCCCCTCTTCTTCTCGTCAGAGAAAGGGGAGGTCCCCCATAGGTACCAACCTGCCTTGGTACATTAAGTTGCTGCAGAACGAGGTGCATTCTCTCTCACTGAGGTGAGACAAGGCAGCTGAGTTAGGGGAAAGGGATCCAAAGGGAGGCATTAGAGTCAGAGAGGGACCCTGCTGCAGTTGTTGGGGGAACCACATAAAGACCAAGCTACACATCCGCTACATATGTTCAGGGGGCCTAGGACCAGTCCAGGTATGCTCTTTGGTTGGTCTCGGTGGGACCCCATACACCCAGGTTAGTTGATTCCATAGGTCTTCTTGTGGAGTCCTTGACCCCTATGGCTTCCTCGTTCTTCCAACTCTTCCATGTGACTCCCCAAACTTTAGACAAAGTTTAATGGGGGTCTCTACATCTGTTTCCATCAGCTGCTGGGTGAAGCCTCTCAGAGGAGTTATGCTAGGCTCCTGTCTACAAGCATAGCAGAGTAACATTAATAGTGTCAGAAATTGGTTTTCTTCCACAGTGTGGGTATCAAATAGGATCAGCCTTTGGTTGGCCATTCCCTTAATCTTTACTCTACCCTTCTCCCTGCACATCTTGTGAGCAGGACAAATATTGGGGTAAAGGTTTTGTGGGTGGGTTGGTGTTATCTTTCCACTGGAAGTCCTGCCTGGCTACAGGAGGTGGCTCCATATCTCCTGCTGCTAGGAGTCTTAGCTAGGGTGACCCACACACTTCCTGGGGCCTCCCCTATCCCAGGTCTCTTGCAAGTCGCAAAGATGTCTCCATCTTTGATTTCTATTTTCTCACCACGCCCTCTCTCCCCCACCCTCCCTACTCATAATCATTACCCCGGTCTCCTCCTCAGTTCCCTCCCTCCATCCACCTTCAGTGCCTATTTTATTTCCTCTTCTGAGTGAGATTCCAGCATCCTCCCTTGGGCCCTCCTTGTAGCTTCTTTGGGTCTGCAGATTGTAGCATGGTTATCCTGTACTTTATGGCTAATGTCCACTTATAAGTGAGTACATACCATGCGTGTCTTTTTGGGTTTGGGTTACCTCACTCAGGATGTTTATTTTCTACATCCATCCATTTTCCTGCAAATTTCAAGATGTCCTCGTTTTTTAATAGCTGAGTAGTAGTCTATTGTGTAAATGTACCACATTTTCTTTATCCATTCTTTGGTTGAGGGACATCTGAGTTGTTTCCAGTTTTTGGCTATTGCATATAAAGCTGCTATGAACATAACTGAGCAAGTGTCCTTGTGGTATGGTGGAGCATCTTTTGGGTATATGCCCAGGAGTGATTTAGCTGGGTCTTGAGGTAGATCTATTCCCAATTTTCTGAGAAACTGCCAGATTGATTTCCACAGTGGTTGTAAAAATTTTCACTCCAACCAGCAATAGAAGAGTGTTCCGTTCCCTTTCTCCACAACCTTATCAGTATGTTCTTGAATTTTGATCTTAGCCATTGAGACAGGTATAAGATGGAATCTCAGAGTCATTTTGATTTGTATTTCACTAATGACTAAAAATAAGGAACACTTCAAGTATTTCCTCACAATTAGAATGATGAGAACTGGTCACAGTAGCACATGCCTTTAATACAAGCATTTGGGAGGCTGGGCCAAGCTGGACCACAGAGCAAAACTCTTAAAAAAAAAAAAATCCACAAAATAAAACAAAATTCTGAAATATTCTCAAATGCTGCCTTACAGAAAAATCTTAGGTATATCCCTATCGTTATGTAATGTATCTTAGGCTGGCTTTGAATTTACTATATAGGCGAGGAGCCCTTGAACTCCCAATTTGCCTACCTCCATCTCTCAGCTGTTGGCAGTACAGGTGTGTGCCATCACATCTGGCCAGTTTACACCTATTTTATGTTTCAGGGAAATTGGTCTAGAAGCAAAACTATACGTTAAAACTGGAGCATTAAATGAACACTGGGACCATATAATTCTCAAAGAATTAGTGAAAATATATTTTTAAAAATCCTGGGATTCTTCCCCCCCCCCCTTTCCAGTTACGACAGGTAATAGAGTTGGCCCCGGCCCTCACTAGCTGCAGCACTCAGAAGAGCAGGCCCTGCATCTCACCTGGGCAGCACAATTGAGCTGGCCCTGGTGTCATGGGCACATATGAGGTGGCCCAGAGGACGTGAGAGTGAGAGAGCTGGCTCTGCCCCCTTGTTGGCTTCTGCATTGGATGAGCCAGCTGGGGCAGTGCTGGAGAGCTTGTCTTGGTGGTACTACAAGAAAAGAAGTGTGGACAAAAGGATATACTGTGGTATATACTGTGACACACTCCAGCTTCCACAATGAGATGTTTTTTGTGGTGGGTGGTTGCAACGGTGAAGGGTGAAGGGTGAGTATGAAGGGACAGGGAAATGAGTGGGTTTGGGGTACACAATGTTGAACTCTCAGAGATCATTAAAAAGTTAAAAAATACTGGGATCAATGCTTATTACTATTATAATACTATTATTATACTCATTAAGTATTTAATAAAATGATTACTGCATGATGAATTCTAGCTTTACTTCCTTAAGAAAGCCAAGGGGAAGGCTAAGAATGTAGATCGGTGGCAGAGCACTGACCTAATTAATGGGTAAGGACCCATGTCTCTCTTTCCCAGCACTGTAGAGAGATTAACAAAGCAAGCCTATAGCATGATTCTGCCTGTCACCTCACTAGAGGCTCATAAAGTGGTGCCCTGCCAAGGGGACCACTATTCCACAGACCCCAAAATATTTACTAGACAGATTAATTGATGTTTTCATATAAACAGTTAGTGACTGTTTGAGGTGTTATAAAAGGAAAAGCAAGTATTTTGGCAATATATAAAAGTAAGTAACAATTTCAATGTGTTGAGTTTGGAAGATCAGAGGTTTCAGTGGAATCAGGTAAACCACAAAACAAAACAATGGGTGAAAAGCAGAGAAAGGTAGAATAAAAGCAGTTAAGAAGAAACCAGAATGAACTTAAGTTCTGAGGTGTGAAAATAAAGTCATGGCTTTTGAGGAGCCAGTCAGCTGTCTGAATGCTGTTATTACATGGGTTATGTGGGCTGGGCACGGTGGCACATGCCTGCCAGTACTTGGGAGGCAGAGGCAGGCAGATCATTGTGAGTTCAAAGACTGGTCTACAAAGTCCAGGACAGCAAGAGCTCTGCAGAGAAACTATCTTGAAAAAACAAAAACAACAACAATAAAACAAAAAAAACCTAACCAAACAAACAAAAAAAAAAACCAAAACCAAACAAAAGAGAGAAAAAGAGCGAGAGAGAAGAGGCATGAAGCAGAGATATAGGGCCAAAAACTGGGAATATGACTGACTTTTAAAGGACTGTCTATTTGGACCTGCATGGAACAGCCTAAAGAATGGATTAAAAATAAAAATAATGACTCTAGTTAGGGGACTATTTCAGTCCACTATGTATGGACATGAAGGCCCGATGAATCTCAAACCACTGGGCAAATGAAAAAAGATCAAACAAACAAACAAACATGCAAAAGATCATCCACTGAATGATTCCATTCATGAGAAAGTCCAAAGGAGGAAACCTTGCAGAGACAGAGTGTTTGCTGGGCACAGGACATGTCTGTAATCACTGCATTTGGGAGACAGAGTCAGGAGTATCGGTAGTGTAAGGCCAGCCATCCTCAGCTACATTACAAGTCTGAGCCTATTTGCGACTGTTCAGGAGAGAGAGAAGGGAAGAGAGGAGAGGAGAGTTTGTAGTTATTTGTTGATGAATTAAAGGAAGAGGCACTACAGATAGGCAGAAGGTCATTTTCTGGACTTTTTCTTAAGACTGGATTGCAATGATTGCTACATAACCATTTCATTTTCTAAAATCATCATTGAGCTGCACTTGTATGAATAAGTGGGGGAGAAATGAGGGCCTGAACTTGTTCAATAGGGGGAAAAAAAGAGAATGTTTTCCAGAGGGAGAACAGGAACAGATAAAGGATATGTGATATGGATGAAATATAAAAAAGTTAAAATGCCTTAAGTTTCTAGGCAGAGGGTAGGGATGATGTTGGTGCTAGTAAAGGGAGAGAAGGAATACAAGAGGTCAGCCTTCAGGCAGGTTAGAGCACTGTTCAACCTGTGCGTGCCATTTACCAAAAACTGGGTGCCAGGAACTTGAAGCTGTCAATAGCCTGCTTTCCCATGTTATTTTTACTCATTACCGAAATGGGAGAGTAATCTGAAACTTTGGGAGTGATGAGAACTGAGAGTGGATAGAACAATGTTGAGTGCATACTGACTGTTTTTAAGATCACATCTATATTAAGCACACATTTCTTTCTACTTACTCTAAATACACTTACAAATCTAAAATCACTATGGAAAATTTGAAAAGCAAAAATGAGGTTTAACGAGCCTGCTTATTAATTTAACATCAAATGGATGAGATTAAAATATGATCTGAAAATGACTATTACAAACTTAATGAAAGGATCAAACTTAATTCTGGTGAAGCTCGTAAGTAAAACAAAACTCCAGATGATACATAAAACAATACTGGAATTAAAAATGTACACAACAGTAATTTCATAACAAAATTTGAATATAATGCAGCTTTTTGGAGTGGGATTTGAAATCGGTGTCTACAAACCAATCTTGTTTGTGATAGCAAAATTTCGGCTATTCTGAATGTTAGAGCAAATAACGAAAACATAACCAGCAAGTACTTAAGGCCTTTTGGATTTTGAAAAGTGACTCATGAATCACGGCGGTGGCTTCAAGTCTCTGCCTCGGTTTCTCATTTGTTAACATTGGCCAGGGCAAAGTTGGATAAGTTTTGCTATTTTTCACTGGGTAGTGATTTTTCAGGATACAGAAAAGGGCAGGGCAAGGGAAATGATAGCCACCTGCCCACTTCTGACGCCCGAACACAACAGTCAGAACGCAGGACTGTGCAGGCGTCTGCAAGCCGTGCATTCCAGACTAGTGCTCCAGCAGCCCCAGAGCCTGTTCGACAACGCAGAAAGATGGTCCGTAGCGGAGGACCGCTTAAGACCTTCTCCCTTCTAGACTTCCTACCTTCACTGCGTACAACTTGCCGCCTTTTTGTCCCAGGTACACTTTCCCGAATGCACCACGGCTAATAGGCTTCACTATGGTGAACTCCTCAATGGAGGGTGGTCTGGGTACCGGGATCTTTTCCACGCACTCATCTGTCGCCGCTCCTCCTTCATTCTCCTCACTCCCGGAGGCGGAGGACTCCATAGCCCTTCCGTGCGCACAGCAGCCACAACTCCCGCCAACCTGATTCAAAAGGAGGTTCCGCCCACGCCGGGCGCCTCCCGTGACGTCACCGTGCGGCTGCGCCCGCCCGGCTGGCGCTCGGCGGCCTCGGTGGGCGGGGCTCGGCTGGGTTCGGGTTCGGCCCGCTCAGCCGCGGGTGTGTGACGTCGTAGCCTGGTTGCCGGCCAACGAGCGAGGCGACTACTGAGACTTTAATGTGGACTGAGTCTGGTGGGGTCCTTCCGGGTCCCAGTAAAGATCTGTAGTCCTCCCTCCCTCCGCGAGAGCTAAAAACCAGGCGACTGTTAAGTAAAGCCATGGCCAGGGATGAGGTGTGGCAGCTAGTGAAGTCCCGGGATGTGGAGAACCTGGGTGAGCGGGAAGCGCGCTTGACTCGGTACTAATTCAGAAACAGCCCAGGAGCGACTAGCGGACCTCCAGTTTATCGTGGGGCGGGGAAAAAGTCGAAAAACAACTCCCAGAGTGAACCACGACGCGGAAGAGGCGGAGCGCCGCCGCCGTGGGGGCCGGTTGAACGTGGGTCCCTTGCTCCGGAAGTACTGAATCGTTAGCCTCTGGTCTTCCGGGGCAGATGTTGTCGTAGCAGCTGTGGGGAGGGGAAGCCATTTCTTTGCTTCTGGGTGGAGTAAGGCATACACCCGGAGAAGAGCGAGAGGAAATAAAGAGAAAATAAGAGGGCTCAGCCCCTTTCCTCTGAGCTGAAGAGAGCAAGCACTTCCGGCTGGCGGGTAAGGTCCCGAGGCCCAGAGATGTTTTCCCTGTCGAGCACTGTGCAGCCCCAGGTGAGCCCCGCGTTCAGCTGTTTTCCTGCGGCCCTTTTGCGACTGTTTTCCGGATGCTGTCGTAGAGTCGGTTTTGCTGAAGCAGATTAGCGAGGGAAGCGACAAACCCAGCGAGAGTCGCGGACTGAAGAGTAGTTCAAGGGACAGTTCGGAGAGTATGATAACCTGACACTAACCATAGTGTGAACATCTTATCCGATGTTTAGCTTATCCGATGGCTTGCACAGAACTTCTGTTACGAGAATTCCGGGCATTGTTTAGGTTTGGACAGTCTGAGATGGGGGTTTGTGAAGTTTACGTGAGGGGTTCCTTTCAAGCAGAATTTGGCTCAGACATGCATCAGTACTTTGAATAGCCAGCATGATTTCTTTTTTTCTGGACTAGAATTAACTCGAGTGCATTTTTGAGTCATTAGATTCTTGCTTTTTTAAAAGTTGATTTAAACTATATTTTTGGGGTCCTTTTTTAGAACCCAAATTGTGTTAATGTTTTCCTTGATTCGTTAAATTTTTTGTATAATATGATAGCAATGTTTTTTAAAAGTTCAGATTGTGCCTTTAAAGTTAATTAGTTAATTAAATTGATTGTTTCTTTTCTTAAACAAAATTTCTCTCTTTAACAGTCCTGCAGTCATGGAACTTCATTTGTAGACCATTGCTGGTCTCGAACTCACAGAGATTCTACTTGCTTCTGCTGTGATTAAAAGCATGAGCCTCCATGCCTGGCTTTAATTTTATTTTTTGAGGCAAGGTCTCACTTTGTATCCTTTTTGACTGTAGTCCTGGCTGCTTGATCCCTGAGATCAGCCTGCCTCTGAGGTGCTGGGATCGTAGGCTCTCACCACCTTCACATCCAGTGGTGTATGCTCAACTTCTTAAGAAAATGATTATTAAGCCAGGGCGGTGCATGCTTATAATCCCAGCTCTCAGGGAAGCAGAGGCAGGCAGATCTCTGTGAGTTCAAGGCCAGCCTGGTCTACAAAGTGAGTTCCATCTAGTACAACTAGGGCTGTTACATAGAGAAACCTTGTTGGAGGTGAGGGTGGGGAGGTGGGGGTGGGGAGTATGATTATTCATGCCAGGCTTGGAGCAGGTCTTTAATCCCATGATTTGGGAGGCAGAGACAGGCAGATATTCCAGACAGAGTTACATAATGAAAATTTGTCTTAAAAGAAAAAAGATAATAGTTGCTCTTTAATTTCTATCCCCTTTTTTTGTGATTCAGTGGTATTGGCTGAGCAATAGAGAATGGAATCGCATAGCTACTTCTTAGGCAGCAAGTGAACAAAACATATATGTATTTTTACTAGTGATTGGAAGTAAAGATGAACAGTAAAGAGGAATTTCAGGCAGACAGAAAAAAGTAAAAAGTCCTGTGAGGAACAAAAGTAAGGCTAGTGGTAAGAGCATAGTGATTAAAGGCAGTGGTGTCAAAGATGAAGTTGGAGAGAGGACTCAAGAGTGTTAAGAGAGTTTGAGTTGTTTTCGATGACCAGATTTTCATTTGTAGCCTTGCTCTGGCTTCTTGCTGTCTAGAGAATATGAGAAGACAAAAGTGTAATTGTAATGGATTGAAGATTCTCTTGCCCTAACCCAGGAAAGGGTTGCTGCTCCAATAAAATAGCTTTCAGTAATTGTGGAAAAGAAATAGCTATGTCTAGGGTGGTATCTCTAATTCCAGACTTGGAGGAGGGGCAAGAAGAATAGGAACTGGTAGCCAGCCTATCTCAGAAAAACTAAAAAAAGAAAAGAAATAATAGAATTTCACTTGGGTATAAGTGTGGGAGATGGTGGAAAGTGATGTTTTTGTTTTCATCAACTTGATACAGGAAAATGTTTTCCAGAAGGACAATGTTTGGGGAAGTTTTAGTAATTTGAAAAAAAAAAGTCTGATAGAGACTGTTGAATATAATATTAATTAATTTATATTAAGAAAGCATGATGAATAATTGGGGTAGAAGACATAACATGGTAGAAGAACAAAGGGGACCCACTCTGGTGACATAAGGACAGGACTTCCATGACCTAAATACTTGTTTGTTGTGAGTTTCGTACAACTGGATCTCCCTAGGTAGCACAGAGGGAGCTATGTAGCTTGTAATAATGTGTATCCTTCCTAGTTTAATTGTCTCCCACCTCTTACTGCTGTTATAGTGGAAACTGATTCAGCATAATTTTTAAAGGGAATATGCATCAAGTCACAGCAAGAAGTGTAACAGTAGCTAAATACTGTCGTGTTAGGATGCAACATTGAATACTAAAATAGAAATAAATTCTTGCCATATGGAGTTTCTTTTAGTTGGGTAATGTGGTATGACAAAAGAAATACTTAATTTGTCTGGTTTTCCTGGTAGCAAGCTTCTATGAAATTCTTAGAATGTCTTGAGTTAGTCATAAATCGTAAGCCCCCATGGAATAAAGCTGTTTGTCCTGATGAGGTAACAAGTCTGCAAATAACCTCAGAATGGTACTAGTTAGACCAGATAATTCCATCCTTGCAGGCAGTAATCGACTGAGCTGCTGGGCGGTGAATTTCTATGCAGCAGGGTGTTGTAACTCATGGAGGATGTCCTCCACTAGGCATTCATTCCAGGCCTTGCCCTACATACTTCTTTTTATTTCTTCATATAGACTGGCAAACGTAAATAAGGTGTTTTCATATGTTCTTTGAGCTGTTCCCTAGCTGTTTGTTCTAGGGAACAAAGGGCCAGGTAATGAAAAGAAGTAATAAAAAAAACCAAACTGTAGATTTTTCAAGTTGTTCAGGTGTTAGATTTTAGCAGACGAGTGATCTAACAGACTTTGATTTTAATATGATCATTTTATCTTGTTCTGGGAATGTGCTGCAGCTGGAGAAGGGCAGAAGCAGGAGATTAGGTGGTGGGAATTTAGAACAAGAAGGTGGCAGCAGGAACTGCAAAATCACAAAATTCTTGGTATGGACTTTTTTTGCAGAAGTATTCTGTGAAAGTGCCATTTATTTTGCCACATTCCTAATGGTAGTTTTCTCCAGCTTTCCATTTATTTCACAATTATGTTGAAAAAGTTTGTTTCTTAATGTGCATGCATTTGTCAAATTATTTTCTTAGAATAAATTCCTAGAAAGTAGACTGTGGAGGATGAAAGAAAGTATATATATTTCAAATTAATATTTGTGACAGGGTCACTATGTAGTCCTCTTGGCTGGCCATGAACTCTATGTAGACGAAGCTAGCCCTGAAATCACAGATATCTATTTACCTTGTCTTCCTCTCCAATGCTGGGGTAAAAACCAAGCACTACCATGCTTGGATTCTAACATCTCCAAAATAGTATCATGAAAGAACAAACATTTTCTCCTTATTAGCAGTAAATGAGTATGGACAAATAATGTCTACTTTTGTTTTGTTTTGTTATTTTGCATGTGTATGTGTATTTATATCTATGCTGATCTCTATGTTTGTATGTGTTGCTTGTGTGTGTGGTGCTGGAGCTGAAACCGAAATCATCCTTTGCACTGAGTAAGAGTTCTATCACAGAGATATAGCCCAGACTATCCATAATTTTGACATCTTGGGTGATGTTTAACTTTAATAGATCTAAATCCTGACCAGGAAAAAAAATTTGTTTCTGATTTTTAAAAACATAATGCTTAATTTGAACTTTTTATTTTTTTTCTAGGTTACAGTTCCTCTCAGTCATCTCATCAATGCCTTCCATTCACCAAAAAATATATCTGTTTCTGTCAATACATCTGTTTCTCAAAAACAGCATCGAGATACAGTTCCTGAGCATGAAGCTTCCAGTAGTGAGGTAATAGTTATCTGAATTATATGAGGAAGCTTTTGATATTGTGAATTTTAATCATACTTGGTCAAGTATTGTCATTTAGGCATTTGCACCGGTTCTTTCTGCTTTCATCTTAATCTTTGTAATTGAGGGCTTCTGTTGTTTTCTTATATGTATGAGTTTATTTGGTTATTGTTTTAAAACATTTATATGACATTTTTGATATGTACCTCCCATATTATTCCTTGTTCATACCAAACAGATTTTTAATACAATGTCTATAAAATTTTTTTAGTTAATTCATTTTTATTTTATGTATATAAATGTTTGCCTGTATGTATGTCTGAACACTTACATTCTGGTGTGCACAGAGCTCAGAATAGGGTATTAGACCCCGTGGAACTGCAGTTACAGATGATTTTGAGTCATCACATGGGGCCAGAAATGAACTCTGGTTCTTTGCAGCAGCAGAAAAAGTGCTCCTGACTGCTGAGCTGTTTCTCCAGACCCTTTAAAAAAATTAAAAAATTAGCATTTTCATATACCTATATAATGTATTTTGTCATTTTCATCCCTTTTCCACTGAATTCTTCTAACAAGCGCACCTTTCATGTCTTTGTTTTTGTGTTGGTTTAGCTTGGTTGGTTGTTTGTGACCACTGAGTTTAACTTGTATGGGTAGTGGATTACTTCCTGGATCATGGGCACTGTACTAGTGCCTGTATCCCTTAGAGAATGATTCTCCTCTCACAGCAATCATCAGTTGTCAGTAGCTTCTCAGGGAGGAGTGGGACAGAGAACTCACAGGTTAATGACAGTTATGACCTAAGTCTCAAGGAAGTTAGCATCTTACCATCATTGTCTACTGCCTTATAGATTAAACAACTAGAATGGCCATGGTGACAAGCCTGGAATCTCAGCCCTCCAGAGGATTGAGAGTTTGAGGTCACCCTGCACTCTATCTTAGGAACCAATTCAAAAACAAAACTACAAAAATAGCTAGAGTATAAGTACTTGAAAGTAAAATCTGTAAGCTAGGAAACTGTATGTCATAAAGTCAGAGATGTACAAGTAAGATTGTGAATTTTAAGAACCTTTTCTGTTTACAAGGTTTCTTAACAAGATGGCTAAAAGCTCAAAAATTTTTTTGTTTTGTTTTTATTTTTTGAGACCAGGTTTCTCTGTGTTGCCCTTTTTAACTTGGAACTTGCTGTGTAGACCAGGCTGGCCTTCAACTCCAGGCTGGCCTGCCTCTGACTCCTGAGTATATTTTTTATTGGAGAAAAACTGTGTAGTTTTTCAAAAGCCCTTTTAACCTATAAATAATGAATGTTCTTAGTTTCGGTGTCAGGTAGAGGACAATAGAGGAAGAATAGAAAAGCTTGCTTGGTGGTGATGGTCATCATGGACATTAGATCTTGAACTCAGGGACCTTTTGCTGACATGGCATGTGTGCCCCACCGTGCCTGGCATGATAAAACATTTTGATTAAAGGGAAAGTTTGTCTTGTCATCTATGTACTTTACTTTACCCTATTTGCCCAGTTGCTCTTGCTCCTGTTTGTAGGCACTTCATTGCTTTTCTTCTCTCCGATGACCTTGCTCTCCAATCATACAGTCTAAGAAAACCTTTTTACTGAAAATTCTATAAAGTATAGTCGATAAGTCAAACATAGTAAGAGATTAATAACAGTAATATTAAAAAGAACAATTCTACTGCAATGAAAGTTATATCAATGTGATGTCTTTACAAAGGCTGTTTTACTGTACTGTACATAATTACTTATGAAAGACAGATGACAGATGATTGTTAAGTTGGTACCAGGTTACAATGCTATATATATATAGAAAGGGAAAACCCTGGAAAGCCTTTCATTTCATTGTGACTCATAATGCTTAACTAACTGGTGCTTTTGGTTGTAGTGAGAAATTTCTTTTCATAATAGGAGTTTTTCCCCCCAAACTTCATGACTAACTTTAATAAAACTAGAACCATTAGAATGTTTGTATTACTTTAAGAATTAAAAAGCTCTTATGCTTTTGATAAGTATCCTTTAAATATTTTGTTAATGTTAATTTGGCTGATTTGTCTTTTATAGCCTGTACTTAATTTAAGAGACCTTGGATTATCTGAGTTGAAAATTGGACAGATTGATAAACTGGTAGAAAATTTGCTTCCTGGATTTTATAAAGACAAAAGATTTTCTTCCCATTGGCATACATCTCATATCTCAGCACAGTCCTTCTTTGAAAATAAATATGGTATGTTAGTTATTGTCTTTTCTATTTAAAGTAAGCCATTTTTTATTGTAATGGATGCAGTATATTCACACTTACTATGGGCCTGTTTTTTTGAGTTTTTTTTAATTTATAACTTTTCATATTGCTGTAATACTAGATTTATGGAAAAATTTAAAGTACTGAGAATTTCTGTGTACTCGTTTGCTGTAATACTTACATTAGGTTGGCTCATGGTGTGCAAGTCTTCTATCACTGAGCTACATCTCTAGTCCATGAGTGTCTTTTCAGTGGTATTCATGGGATGGGTTTGAACCCTTCGCCTCACTCATGCTAGGCAGGTAATCTTCTAGCGAGTTATATCCTTAGCCCTTTTATTATATTTTACTTTGAGTAAGGGTTTTGGCAAGTTATCTATCTGGCCTTGAGTCCATTCTGTAGCCCTAGCAGGTTTTGAATTTGTGGTCTTCCTGCCTCAGTCTCTTGCGTAGCTGGGATTATAGGCCTGTACCACGTGACTTTTTTAAAATTTTATCTATCTATCTATCTATCTATCTATCTATCTATCTATCTATCATCTATCTATCTATCTATTTATCTATTTTTATGTCACTCAACTAGGTGATATGTAAGCCGTTGTTTGTTTGTTTTTCAAATGTTTCTTTGTATAGCCCTGACTGTTCTGGAACTCACTCTGTAGACCAGGCTTGCTTTGAACTTAGAGATCTGTCTGCCTCCCAAGTGCTGGGATTAAAGACATACGCCACAACCACTCAGCCTAGAGCCTTCTTAAAATACCTAAATACCTGCTTCATATTGATGGAAAGAACACATTTTAAAAATGAGTTTAAACTGTAGGATTCCAAGAATAAAAGACTAAAAGGATCTAAGAGTGAGGACAAAAGCTAGAATCACTAAAGGTTCGAGGGCTTTGACTAGGACTCAGTGTCTTGCCTTTAGGCTTCCTAACGTGTTCGGCCCATAGGAATCTTTAGAAGGTTACATATTTATTTTAATGTTTTAATAACTTTTATTTTTTTTCTAATCTGCATTTTTACAATTAAAAATTTTTCATACTATGAGGCACTTTCTCTACTTGGGCAGGCAGAGATATAAGGAATAAGTTTCTTATTTGGACACCTAGGAATTTTTTTAAAAATGCGTTAAGTCTTACTAAGCATTCAAATAAGTAATAGTCCCTTAGGATTTGAAACTAGGTGTGTAATTCATTGTAAAGTTTCAAGCCTGGCTATTGAAGGAATCTATTTCATCCTTTGCAACTCTAGATACTTTTTTGTTGTCGTTTTTGTTTTTGTTTTTTGTTTTTTCAGACAGGTGGTCTTAGTAGCCCTGTCTGTCCTAGAACTCACTATATAGACCAGGTTGGCCTTGAACTCACTTGCCCCTGCTTCCAGAGCTTTTCAATTAAAGGTACTCACCAACACACCTAGCTTTACTCTAGATCCTCTAAGTCATATTAGAAGCTGTGTTTTTACTCCTCTGCAATATCATTAGAGCTTTGAAATGGTCTTTAAGCAATAGCAGCTCTTTATCATGCTATCCTTATAATAATATAAGGATAATATCCTTATAATAATAAAAGGGGCTATTTTTCTTGTTTTTACTTCTGCTGATTTGAATTTAGTTTCTTGGGCAGCTATAATCATATGCCAGAGAAAAATCGTAATTTAATTTACCATAAGTGATAGTAAAATGAGGAATGGTGAACTATGTCAATGCATCAGATGTCCTTTTAAAAGTAAAGTTATACTATAGACAAATACTATGTGAAACTCATTGTGATTTTCCTAATATTTATAAATTTTTAATTTGTACAATTTTTATGTGTTTTTCCTTTTGGCTTGACAATTAGGTAATAACTTCCTGCAATTTCCTTGCAGGTCACTTAGATATGTTCAGTACACTACGCTCCTCTAGCTTGTACAGACAACATCCAAAAACTCTTCGAAGCATTTGTTCAGATCTTCATTATTTTCCAGGTACAGACAACTGTATTTACTTTTAAAAATGTGATTGTTTTATATATATATATATATATATATATATATATATATATATATATATATTTTTTTTTTTTAGTGGTGGTGATTGAGCTATCTATTTCTAGTATACTGGGCTTAAAGTATTAGAATTATTAATTTGGTTAGTTCTGTACTTTTTGATGCCGAGGTTTCACTCTGCTAGTTAGACTGGCTTTGAACGTGTAGTCTTCCTCAGTCTTACGTGTTGGAGGTTACAGGTATGTGCCATTGTAGCTGGCTTTCTTTGTAAACTTTTGAGGAAAAAGTATTTATTTCATATGTGTGGATAGATGTTCCACCTGCCTGTATGTCTGTATACCCTGTGAACCTGCTTTCCTCTGAGGCCAGAACAGGGCATCAGAGCTCTCAAAACTGGAGTTACAGGTGCCTGTGAGCCACCATGTGGGTGTGGAAATTGAACCCACGTCCTCTGGAAAAGTAGCTTGTGCTGGTAACTTAACCCTCTCTCTAGTCCTTTTTATAAACTCTGAGCTACAAAATAATAATAGAAGGTCAACTGTGTGTGAGTTTTAAGTACTTAGGTAAATCAGACCTGGGCAATTCATCTATACCTGTTTCAAAATAATTGTCTAAGCATATTTGTTTACTTACCCTCACATTCAAAAATCCATTGAAATGACAGAAAAAAACTTAAGTGAAAAAATATTGGAGAACATCAGAGTGCTTTCGTTAATTTCTTAGAAATATGAGGACTTTAAAGCTATAAGGTAGATGATATCAAATTGGTAACATTGCTGTTTCCATGCAGCTTAGGATAGAACAATGCTTCTCAACATGTGAGTTGCGACCCTTTCGGGTGTGAACGAGCCTTTCATGGGTTGAATATCAGATGTCCTGCATATCAGATATTAACATTACAATTCATAACAGCGAAATTACTCTTACAAGTAGCAATCAAAATAATTTTATGTTTGGGATCACCACAACATGTGGAACTGTATTAAAGGATTGTAGCATTAGGAAGGCTAAGAACCAGTGGGAAAGAGTATCATAAACGATTTAAATGCTTCTGTTTCTAGTAGAACGTGGGAAAAATACTTACCGTGGAGTCAACAAGAATGGGCTTTGGGTTTTGTCTTAGTTTGGCTTTTGTTGCTCTGATAATACACTGACTAGGCCTGGCAGTGGTGGTGAAAGCCTTTAATCTCAGCACTTGGGGAGGCAGAGGCAGGCAGATCTCTATGAGGCCAGCCTGGTCTACAAAGTGAGTCCAGGACAGCCAAGGCTACTCAGAGAAACCCTGTCTTGAAATACCACCAACCAGTCAAACAAACAAACAAACAAACAAAAAACTGCTGGCCAAAGCAACTGGGGAGGAAGGATTTTACTTGGCTCAGAGGTCCTAATCACAGTCCATCACTGGGGAAGTCAGAGCAGAAGCCGGCATCTGCAGGCAGAAACTTAAGTCCCATCATTTTGCAGCTGTCTTTTTCATGCAACCCAGTATCACTTGCCCAGTAGTGGCAGCATTGCCTTTTGGGCTGGACCCTCCCACATCAGTCATTAAGACAATATTCAAAGGCTTGCTTCCAGGCCAGACCTAGGAAGGCATTACCTCATTTGAGGTTCTGTGTTTCCAGATGACCCTAGTTTATGTCACATTTACAAAACTAACTAGTCCAGGATTGTTGATGTAATGCACTTTTGATTGATTGCCAAGAATAGGCCAATCATAAAGCATCTGTAGGAGTTAACTTTTAGGCTACAGTTAGAAACAAATGCCTTTCTTTATAAGCCCTGTGTTTGTATATGTGTTTGGGGGAATCTATTTTTGGAGATTCTTGTTTTAAGAATTGATGCCAAAGAAAGGCAAATTTATTTGTTTTTTAATCTTGTGTACATTTGTCTTCATTCACATAATTTGTGGTTTGGGTTTCAGTATATTATTGCTTTGCTAGTATTGCAGAAACATTTGCTATCAGTACTGGTCACTCTATTCTTATTTACAAATAGAAATAGGAGCCATCTATGATGCTTCACAGATATAATCCCAGCCCTTGAGAGGCTGGTTTACCGAACTTGGAATACTTTTTATAGGAAGATTATGTGTGTAGCCTTGTGTCTGCTCTTGGCATTAGAAAGGCAGAGGATTATGAGCTCCACTGTAGCTTGACTGTGTAACCTTTCCTTGTTTCAGAAGTTTAAAAAGTAAGTAAGAGAAGAATGTGTGTGTACAGGCGTTTAAGAGTGGTTACAGAATTATTAAGAATGACTACATTGGGAAATAAATTTAAGATTTAAGGAATTATAGTATATACTTTGATATATTTTGGTACTTGAAACAACTACTGAAGAAAATTTAAGTTAATTGTTTATTAAATCAATTTCAATAATTTAGCTTTTGGTTTTTAGTGTCACAGTTTGTTACTTTTTTGTTTTCTACATTATATTGTAAAATCCTTTTTTTACTTTTCCTACTATCAACATGAAACTATCAACATGTTTAGTGTTTAGAAAAAGGTAAAGCATATTGAAACATCAACAGAATTAACTGTCTCTAAAACTTAGATACTAATTTGGATGTACAATTGGGGGGGTCAGACTTTACTCGTGATCATTTTTCTTTATTGTAGCTACAAAGTAATTGATACTGTTTTGTTCAGTTTTCATACAGTCTCGGGGTTTTAAAACTTTGAAATCAAGGACACGGCGTTTGCAGTCCACCTCTGAAAGATTAGCAGAAGCACAAAATATAGCACCATCATTTGTGAAGGTAATTGCTTCTTTGTGATTTAGAAAGTAATAATTTTCAAATATTGAAACATCAAAACCTTTTAAGTATTTCATTTTTCTAGTTGATGGAACCCCTACCCTCTTCTGTCCATCAGTGATAATTAACTACTTAATTAACTGTTGTGGCTTTAAATCTTGAAACCTGTTTCTTTTTTTTTTTTTTGAAACCTGTTTCTTTAATCTTAAGAATTTTATACAACTATACAATGGAATATGGTACCTACCCCCTATTCTGCAGCCCAGATTGTTCTGGATCTCACTGTGTAGCCTAGTCTGGCCTCGAACTGAAGGCCAGGTTTTCAAAGCTGAGATTACAAATGTGAGCCACTTGGCCCAGTTAAAATTTCTTCAGTCTTTTTCTTCATCCTTGTTCACTGTCATACACTGACATTCTAATAGATTATTACCTGGATTACTCTAATAAGTGCTCATTTAATCCCTTTGTTTCTATTCTTGCAACTTTCAGTTTTGCCTGTAAATTTGTATCATTGCTTCTAAAATGGTGATCTCATTAATGCATTGCCGTGCTTTATTACCCAACTCAGTCTCACGTAACAGTGTGTTTTTTTTAGATTTATTGACCATTTTTCTGTTCTCATCCTGATTATGCTGGTCACTAAATACCTTTATTCTCTTATCTTACCTTTGCATCTTACCACATTAGTTTTTGGACATTATTTTGCACATTATTTCATACTGTTCTGTCAAATTGTTTGCTCATGGTGTTTGTTCCCTGTGTGTATATTTGTTTGGTGTGTGTCTATGTGTGACAGTTTTCATAAACTCACAATCCTCCCTTCTCAAGTCCTAAGATTATAGACCTAGGACATGATGCCTGACTCTATGACTTTTAGGGGAGAGAGCTCTAGAGGTTGGATAGATGGTCTCATGTAGCCCATGATTCTCTGTGTACCTAAGGATTACCTTAAACTTCCAATTCTCCTGCCTTCACCTCTCATGTGCTGGCATTGTATACTTGTGCTACCACATCCAGTTTATGTGGTTCTGTGGATCAAGATGAAGGCCTCATGTATGCTAAGCAAACACTGATCTACAAAGATCCAACCCTCTGTGTGTGGTTTTGACGTACCATTCTCTTGATGTTTTGGTTCCATGCCTTTAACAGCTGAGTCACTTCTCTAGCTTCAGTGCCCTGTTGTCAGTAAGGGATTTCTGTTTTCCAGCGGTAGCATACATTGTATTGCTGTACTTACTGCTTCTAGCAGAATACCAACATTATTTGTAAAGTGTGCCAGTTGTTTAACTTTTCCAGTAGACAGAAAATCTTCAGACACTGCCTTTTTTGTATCTTTGTAACATGTTGTATTTTCTTATATTTTTAGGGGTTTCTTTTGCGGGACAGAGGAACAGATCTTGAGAGTTTGGACAAACTTATGAAAACTAAAAACATACCTGAAGCTCACCAAGATGCATTTAAAACTGGTTTTGCGGAGGGTTTTCTCAAAGCTCAAGCTCTCACACAGAAGACTAATGGTATGATGGTTAGAAGGGATAGTTGGAAGGGTACTTAGTCCTCTGCTTAAAGTCACAGAAACCTTTCTTAATTTCAAAACAGTTATCTTGGTATGTGTGTAAGATAACTGTTTGTGGGAAGCAAGGTGACCAGCAAAGGGAAAACAAACACATACACACACTTGAAAATACAACAAAAATCTTATGTGATATCTAAATGAATTTTTAAACAATTTACTGATTGTCTCGCACCAAGATTAAACCCTCACATAAATTATACTTGATAAAACTATAACAATACTGGGTTATTGTTAACGAGTTTACTACAAAAATGCATATTAGTTGGTGACTTGGGGACACAGGGCACTGTGGGTGGTAGAGATATACTTTCAACTTTTCTGCAAACCTAAACTTTAAGAACAGTCTGTTGTTGTTCTCAAGATTCAACCTAGGGCTTCAGGAATGCCAAGCAAACATTCTACCGGTGAGAATATTCTCGGCTTAAACTCTTAACTTATTACATTAAACTCAAAACAGTAATAACCTAATGTATGCCATAAATGTGTTACGGTTCATTGATGTCATTTAATTCAAGGCTTTTCCTTCTTCCAGATTCCTTAAGGCGAACTCGTCTGATCCTTTTTATTCTGCTCCTGTTCGGTATTTATGGACTCTTAAAAAACCCATTTTTATCTGGTAAAGACTTTCATTTGTCTGAGTTAATCTGTTTCCTCCTCAAGCATCTGACTTTTATAGTTACTAATATACAAAATATTTTATTATCTTACCAAATTTTTTTTTTTTTGTAATTAAGGTTGTTACTGGGGAAGAATATTTGAAGAGTAAGATAATTCATTCAGTTGGACTTAAAAAAGTTATTGTGCCATTTTGTTTATGCTGGCTTTAAAGTAGTAGTTTCAAAGTTTTATTTCTGTGGCTAGTTGTGTCAGAATAATTACATTATTAAAGTAAATAATTTTAAAGGTTAAAAATATCATAATTTTAAAAAATGCTGATTCCTAAACCCTTTCCTGAATAAACATACTATAAATCTGTCCCCAGAAAATTTTTATTGATTTAAAGATTTTTTTTTTTTCCTGAAACAAGGGTGAATGCTGGGATTACAGACATAATAATTGCATGTCTAATTTATGGGTCACTGGGAATTAAATTCAGGTTTTCATACATGTAGGATAAACACTGTACCAACAAAGCTTTATCTCACTTCTGAAAAATTTGTTTTGTTGGAGACAAGATCACATGTATCCCAGGCTGACTCTTAAGCTCAAGGCCAAAGATGCCTTGAGCGCCTGGTCCTCCTGTGTGCTAGGATCGCAGAGATCATCACCTCACCTGGTGTGCTTGTTTTTGCATAGCAGAATAAAAGCTATGTAGTTGTCTTCTGAGTAGAGAAGAGCACACTCGAGGAGTGGGAGTGGATGCACTAAGACTGTGATGTCAGTCTACACGTAGGCAATGTCTGTTTCTAAAGCCTCTAGAAGAGACAGTGCTTCTTGTGGCTCTTCTTGTGGCACTTCCTATCTAGTGACTGAGAGGCCCGTCAGGGTTGACCTTGACTGAGGAAATTATGGTATATCTTTGTTCTTTTTAAGATTCGTGAGTGTTTCACTTGCATGAATGTATGTATACACATGTGTGCCTGGTTCTCAGGAGGCCAGAAAAGGGTATCAAGTCCCATGGAGCTAGAGTTACAGGTGGCTGTGAAATAGCATGTGGGTGATAGAAACTGAACCCAGATACTCTTCAAGAGTAGCTAGTACGCCTAACCACTAGGCTATCTTTCTAGTCCCTGTATCTTTATCCTTTATCAGCTTCCAGCTAAATAGTAATCTTGTAAAGTTATTTAGTGATGACCTCTGCATAGGTCAGAAAAGACTTAGCTCTAGTACTTTGACCAGCAGTTCTCCTTTAGTTTCAGTTCTTGGTTTTAAAGTCTCTGATTATGAATGGGGAGCCCATCCCCAGTGACCCCCCCCCCCACCGAAAGCCTGCTAATAGCTAACTGTCCAACCAGCTATTTAACAATACCCCCTGAAGAATTGAGACCCTAAAGTCACTTAGGAGATGTTAAGTCAGTCTGACCAATAATGTGTAAAATGGAATAGACTGGTTTTTAAGGCACTTGATGCTGTTAAGGCCTTAGAAATCCAAAGGACTAAGATCTATGGAGTTTATTGTTACAGGATTATCTGAAGGAGGAAGAGCGGCAGTTAAGAATACAAAGTCTGAGCATGGTGGCTCAGACTTTAATCCTAGGACTCAAGAGGCAGAGGCAGAGGCAGGTGGATCTTTGTGACTTTGAGGCCAGCCTGGCCTACAAACAAATTCCAGGACAGCCAGGGCTACACAGAGAAATCCAGTCTCAAAAAAAAAAAAAAAAAAAAAAACAAGAAAAGGAAGACTCTAAAGTCTTTGACCAGTAAGGTATAACCCATTTCCTCCATGAATAGCCAATGAGATATAATTCTAGACCTGGTTTTATGAGTATGTGGTAGCTGGGTTTAGTGATGCACACATTTCACCTCAGCAAGAGGCAGGTATACCTGTAAGTAGGAGGCCATCCTGATGTATATAGCAATTTCCATGGGAGCCAGAGCTACATACCCTGTCTCCAAAAAATGAAAACAAAGCCCACAGAACAAAAGTGATAAAGTTTGTTTTGGCTAGTGGTCCTAGAGGATTAGAGTCCGTAATAGTAGGGATGGCGTAGAGGCTGGAAATGAGCAGGGAGCCAGCTAGTTGATCCCATTTTCAGTCACGCAGAAAGCAGAGAGTGAAATGGACGTGAGCTAAGACTATGAGCTCTCAAAGCTTACACTTCTACCAGGAAAGTCCTGAAGGTTCCATAATCTTCCTGAGTAGCACCACCAATTGAGAACCAGGTGTTTCATATTTGTGCCTACTGGAAACTTTCTCATTCAGACCATCACAGCTGTTAACCCCCAAAAGGTCCTGATTAGCCTTGGATGGCTTGGATAAGATTTCAGCTGAAAGAGTTCTATGATTTGGTTTAAGATGTATCCTAGATAGAATGTCTTTGGGGATAATAGCTGAGCTTTGGGCTTAGAGACGCAGAGTCTTTGTCAACAAGTTTATCAGCTACTATTCTCATTGCTGTAGTAAAATATCTGCCAAAAGCCACTTAAGAGAGGGATTATTTATTTTGGCTCCCAGTTCTAGGATACAGTCACAGCAGCAGCTGGAGGTAGCTGGTTATATTGCAGCTCAGTCAGGAGCTAGAGAAATTCATGTTGGTATTTAGTTCACTTTCTAGCTCTGGCTCAAAGATCGATCGATCTATCTATCTATCTATCTATCTATCTATCTATCTATCTATCTATCTATCTATCTATCTATCTATGTGAACACTGTTTGCATGTATACCTGCACGAAAGAAGAGAGCATCAGACAGAGGAGGGCTTCAGATCCTACTATATCCCCACTTGGTTGCTGGGAATTGGACTCAGGACCTCTGAAGGAACAGCTAGTGCTCTTACGGAGCCATCTCTCCAGCTTCACTTTCTCCTTTTTATTCAGTTCAGGACCCTCACCTTCATTTAGGTTGCTCTTTGATCTCAATCCAATTAAAAACTCCTTTGTAGGCATGTCCAAACGTTTCTCACCTAGATCATATCAAATTGACAGTGATAGTCATAATAGCACTGAAGTCCTCCTTAGCTATTTTAATTTGAATAATTCTAATTTTCTATTGCTGTGGTAAAACACAGCTTGGGGAGGAAAGGGTGTATCTGACTCTCAGTCCATTACAGTCCATTATTGAGGGAAGTTAAAAGCAGTGTGTGAGCTTTTTCACACAGATCAGGATTACTTGCCTAGGGATGAAACTGCCTACAGTGGGCTGAACCCTTCTACAGCAGCTAGCAATCAAACAGTGCCCCACAGACTTGCCCACAGAGCAGTCTGATCAGGGCAATTCTTGATTGAGGTTCCCTCCACCCAGGTGACTCTAGGTTGTGTAAAGTTGATGAATCTTAACTAGACAGCAGGGTTTAGTCAGGAGAAAATGGTTACATTTACAAAACACACAGGATAATTATAGCTTCGGTGGCTGTGAATGCCTTACCTCGAATGTTAATGGGGGTGTAATGGGAAAGCTTATAAGTACTGAATCATTCTTTGTCCTTTAAAAAAATATAGTCTAGTTCTTTTATTTTTAGTAGTCTACTTTTTGTCTATGATTTCCTGTTGGGTGTTTAAAACCATACAGGTGGCCAAAAATTAGCCTGTTTTCTTTTTATCATGAAAGTGCAAGAGGATTACATTTGCGGAGTTAGGAGGAGCCCCTTGGCTTTTTCCTCCATCCATCTGTGCCATCTCCTGAGCTGGGTCAGTGTCTTGCTGAGCACATGGGTTCTCATGGAAGTGTGGGAGACGTTCTGTCTGTAATGATCCTATTTGCAGATCATATGGTTAGAGTCCTGGGGTCTCCACCCTCTGATGGAGAGCAGCAGTGAAGTACTGGGGTTGTAGGACCCTTTAAGGGTTTTTCTGTTTTCTCCTGGGACCTTGCTGACCTTGATTCACAGGCCAGATATTGGCTGTCCTCTTAGCCCCTTTATCCTTATTGGATCCTCAGTATGACCAAGAAGGTCATTTAACACAAAATGGAAGAATGAATAGCTGTTTCAAATTTAGATAGAGATTGATAAAAACAAATATTTTAAAATAAACTCTGGGCCTATATCAGTTTCCAAAATAATTTAAGATTTTCATCTTATAATTTAAAGATTATAAGAAGAAAACATTTACTGTCTTTGAACATGGTCTAGAATCTAGAAGACTCTGGTTTTTCTTTCAAATTAGTTTGAGAAACTTAGGTGTCTTAATTTTTCTAGATTTTTATAGTAAATGTCTATACACATTTTCTTCCTGTTAGTGCGCTTCCGGACAACCACAGGACTTGACTCTGCGGTAGATCCCGTCCAGATGAAAAATGTCACTTTTGAACATGTTAAAGGGGTAAGTTAAGTGTTTTGTTTTGTTTTTGCTTTCTTTGTATTTTATCTAATTGATACTCTGCTTTGGGCTTCCATCTGATTATACCAAGCTCCTTCAAACTTCTTGCAATTTAAGGCCGTGAGCCCTGTTTGAATTGCAGAAAGTTATCGGTATGACTATTTAAAATTTGAATCAGTAATGTGGAAGCCTTTTCTATTCTGACTGAGGTTTGAAGTCAGAATTGAATTCTTTAAATTGAATTCTTGGGACTAGGGAGATAGATGGTCTAGTTGTTAAGAGCACTTATGGTTCTTGTCAGGACCTGCATTCAGTTCCCAGTACGTACTTTGGGTAGCTCACACCTGCTTATAACTCTAGTTCCAGGGGATCCTACTTCTGGCCTTCGTGAGCACTTGCATTCAACATGCACATACTACACGCACACACACATACATACATCATTAAAAAATAAATCTTTAAAAAATTTAATTCTTGTTGAAGCTGTTTTTGGTTGGGATATGTAAGTTTCTGCCTGCGGTGAGGATGAGGGAATGTCTGAGTAGAAAATAAGAGACAGATTGACAGCTAAGCAATATAATTAAGTAGATTCTGACAATATTTAAATTCATGTGAGCAAAGTAATTTGGTAGAATTTACCATAATAGGTTTACTATTACACAGTTTTGCCAAGTCTGAAGAAACTTATGTAAGAATCATTTCTTGCCTAGAATTTTTGACTGTGTAAGTATGTGTATATATAGAACTGCTTTAAAAATATAAGAACTGTTTAGAGTATCATTATCTGATGCCATTAACCCTATCTCACCCAATAGCTTTTCTGTTGCTCAACTGGAGATACTCTTGTCACAGGGATTGGGGACAGATATTGTTTATTTTGAGAACTAAATGGTGTTTTATGTTTCTTGATTTAATTTTAGAATTTAAAATTACCATTTACCCATTATTTTAAGTAGATATAGTCTTTTACTGTGCAGAATCCTTGAGTTCTTTTAAATAAGTCCTCTTTTTTAAGTGACCCAGCCAAATCTTTTTGAATTTCAACATATTTGCTTCAAATTACATAAATTTCAAGAATGAGCACATATTTTTCATCAATTCTCAGCTCACCAAAGAATGTTAGAACCCAGAGCCTCCCGTAAGCCTCTTCCGGTTATTGTCTCCATCACTGAAGGAACAGTTGTTACCCTGTCACATACTTTACTAATATACTTCTGCTTATTCATTTGAGTAGCTGCAGTGTATATTGAATATCCTGTTTTGCATCTTCTTTTGCCCAACATGATGTTCTTGGTAGCTCATACATACTGATTGCACAGTTTGCATTTTCTGGCTTTCAGAATACACTCTTTATTCTAACTGACATAAACATTTTGATTGTTTCTAGCTTGGGACTGTAGTATTGTCAGTATGTACCTTATGTATTTTGCTGAACATGTGTCTATTCTCCTGGGGCCGGGCTTTATTTTTACTTACATTACAAAAATTTAATAGCCCTGCCTGTCCTAGGATCACTTTGTAGACTAGGCTGCCCTCAAACTTACAGAGTTCCTCCTGAGTGCTGCAATTAAAAGCATGCACCACCATGCCTAACATAATGATATTTTCTGGAAATTTTTTTGGGGGTGGGGGGATTTTCTAGAAATATAATCAAAACTTAAAAGAGTTTAGGTTTTTAGTTTACTCTTTGGCCTTAAACTGTGTTTTTCCTGATAGTTTTAGTTTAAGTCTGACCAATGTATTTGACTTGTTTCTCCTGAGAGTCAGAGTGAGAATGTCAAATGAGGAGCCATGTAACTGGAGGTAAGGATTGGGAGAAGACCTTTAGTGTGTTAGTTTCTTTCACAGAAAAAGGCCAAGTTCATTCATATGTATATTAAATATATGTTTGCCAAAGAGGAAACCTTGATAATCTAACCATTAATTGATTATTTGGTAAATTGTACCATTTAAGGTGGAAGAAGCCAAACAAGAATTACAGGAAGTTGTTGAATTCTTGAAAAATCCACAAAAGTTTACTGTGCTTGGAGGTAAACTTCCCAAAGGTAAGATATTCTCCCTTTTATCATGGTTTGGTGTAAAAACATATTATAATTTTTATTTGATCATATTATAACTAATTGAAATTCAATTCCTAATTTTTGTTTTTAAAAATATGTGCTTATTCCACACAAAGTTCTATAAGTACTTTTTAATAAGATGTAATGCTTCTTTAAATACGTGGCTGTCCATTTACTAAAAAGGATTTTGAAATTAAAATTGTAGAAAGTCTCTGTATGTATGGTGCTTTGCCTGCGTGTCTGTCTGCCTCTCATGCATATGCCAGGCGCTGGTCGGGGCAAAAAGAGAGCATCCGATTGCCTCAGGACTAGAGCTATAGAGATTGTGAGTTGCTCTGTGGGTGCTGGGAATTGAACCATTTCTCTAACCTCACAGAGAGATTTTTTTCTATAGGTTTTGTATAGTTTTAAAGCTAGTACTTTTACATGGATACAAAATTGCTAACTTCACTGTTTGATACACAAATTCGTTATTTATTGTAGAACTGATCTTTGTAATGTCACCCCCATCAGAGTCAGGCATGAATCAAGGTTCCCACTAAGCATTGATGTTGGTGTCCTTCTTTGTTTTGTTTTGTTCTTATACCGGAAATCAAATTCACTTACCATGTGCACAGTGTGTAAGCTCCATACCCTGAGCTGAACCCAACTCCTAAGGTTGGTGTGGGTTTTTTTTTGTTTGTTTTGTTTTTATGAGAAGATTCTTAAGGATTTTTGGTAATTGGAAACTGTGGAAATTGTACTCATGATCTTTACAATTATGAAGACTGAAGTGCTAATTATTTATAGCATGCATCCTTCTGTGTCAACATTCTATTAAAAATAGCAATTTCATGACTAACATAGGATTTGCCCTTCAGCTTAAGGGATAGGTGGGTCTCTGTCTCACTTCGTATGGTGGTTATCTAATGTGCACAAAGCTCAAGATTAGCTCCTCAACATGCTGTAAATGTAAATGGAGCCTATAATCCTAACATGTGGGCGATGGAAGCAGGAGGATCAGAAGTTTAAGGTTAACCTGAAGCACAGGAAACATTTATTTAAAAAAAACAAAACATTTTTAGGATTGGGATTACTGCTTTAAAGATTATAATCTGTTTTTGTTTTTTTTTTTTTCTTTAAAAGATGACAGGTTTATTTCAAGCTTATAGTTTTAGAGGCTAAGCATTATGGTGCATGACAGCACAAAGCTCCTCACCTCACAGTAGGCAGAAAATCAAGCAGTGGAGGGCAGAGTGGAAAGTTTGGCCTGGCATCCAAGACACAGTCTACCCTTCAAAAGCACACCTCCAGTGACCCACCTCTTCCAACTAGTTGTCTCTGAGCTTTGACAGTCTTTTCAGTAACACCAGTAGCTAAAGCAGACGGTTAACATGCAGGTATTTGGTATCTCTTTCAAATAATCCAAAGTCACTGCATTCTTAAGGCAGATTTTAGCCCATTGAGCATTTGTTGTGGGAGTTCTGCATAAGAGAATGTTTTCCTAATCTTTTCCCAGTTAGGAGAGAATATTTAAAACTATATTTACACTTAATTTATACTATAGCAGTATATGAATTTATGGCAAAGTCTTGAAGTATATATACTAAAATATATTATGTCAAAATTGGTAAACCAATTAGATATCACTAAAACATAGTAAGTCTGGTATAAGCTTCATGCTGTTTTTGATCTTGTTTTTACTTTTTTTAATGTTAAAATGCAACATTATTGCAGCTTTATTGCTTTTTAATGTAATTACAAAAGTTATATACAAATTAGTGTAAATGTCAATTTTATTTCCGGGGATGAGATGAGAGCCATTCCCAAACCTTTCTAGCTCTTTCTGAACCCTTGCTGGCTGGTTTAACTCAGCTGTTCTGGCTTATTGATTCAAGCTTATTGATTCAAACTGGCTTCTTTTGGCTTCTGACTGAATTGCTCAGCCTGGCCTCAAACTAATTCTAGCAATATGTTTTAATCTTCTGGCTCCTTCTCATTCTTTGGCTTTTTCTTTCTTCACTTGTGTCTAGCTTATTCTCTTTGCAATTTGTCTCTGTAAAACTGTCCCTGTATTAAACTCTCAGTAACAAAATACTTCCTTGCTGCCTTAAGTAGTCTTTCTTTTCCCTTGTCTTGTTCTTGTGAGAGTTGGGCATATCCTATCTCTGACTCACTCTCTCATTTATCATTTGTCTCTCCCTCAATGAGATATCACTTTCAAACATGGCTGCTTTCTTCTATTAACCTTACCTTCATTGTTTGGGATTAAAGGTGTTTACTAAGGGTGTGTCTGTATTCCAGCCAGATTATACTGTAATCTAGACAGAGTCTGCATTCCAGACAGATCACAGAGACATAGAAGGTCTTTGGATGTGCTCCCTCGCCAGATCAGCCATGTTTCTGGATTAAAATTCTGGATTAAAAAATCAAGGATTACCTTTTTTCAATTTACGATGAGAAAAGCTTACTGGTATGAATACTTCTAAATATTTGGGAAACCTAGGAATAATAACCGTTAACATTTATGTATTATCAACTTAGACTCAACAGTATTTGACATTTTGTCAACTTGTTTTTCTTCCTTTCTCCCTTGAACATATGAAAGCTGGAGATTTCAACTATGTGTCACCTACAAATAAGGATGGTTCCCTAATCTTATCTAATTAGCAAATTACCAAATTAGCATTTTTTAATATCATTGAATTTTTTTTTTTTAGTTCATACTAACTGTTTCAAGAAAATACTTTTTGGCCTTTTATGGAATTGCATTATAAAGATTTTTCCATTTATATTTGGCTATTTATCTTTTAGTATGAATTTTATGTTGCTATAAGTGACGCTGTATTCCTTTGTTATTATTCCTACATTATATATATTTGTACATACACATACAATTTGTTTGAGACAAAAGAGTCTCACTCTGTTTCCTTGTCTGGCCTGAAACTGTCTATAGGCTGTCGTTGAACTCACATAGATCCACCTGCGTCTGCCTCTCTAGTTCTGGGATTAAAGGTGTGTGCAACCCCTTGTGGCTGTAAATAATATTTAAATGGTGCAGGAAAATTAGTTGTAGAAAAAAAATCTTGAAGTGAAACATTATCAGAAGTAGGTTTTGTTTGCCATGTTTATCAATATTGAGCTTTACTGTCATTTCTACTATAGAAATTAATAATTATTTGTATTAGAGGTTCTTCTCAAGGGATTTAAAAAGGTAACCACACATTCTTGTTTGCTTTTTCTTTTAGGAATTCTTTTAGTTGGGCCTCCAGGAACGGGGAAGACACTTCTTGCTCGAGCTGTGGCAGGAGAAGCTGATGTTCCTTTTTATTATGCTTCTGGATCAGAATTCGATGAGATGTTTGTGGGTGTAGGAGCGAGCAGGATCAGAAATCTTTTTAGTATGTTTTGATGTATATTTTAGACAGTATTACACTTTGTTAGTTAGAGGAACAGTAATGTTTTATTTGCCCTTTTCTTGATAATTGATTTTAGTTTCAGGTAACTAACAGAGCTATACTCTTTATTTAAATAATTTTATTATTGTTATTATTATTGTGTTAGTATGCACGTATATGTACACGTGTATGATTACACCCATGCATGAAGCATGTGTATCATTTCTCTTCTACCTTTTTTTGGGTTCAGGAATTTGAACTCAGGTTCATTTTCTACTGAGCCCTTCAGTCTTTTCTAAAATAGGCTAAATAATCATAATGTCTGGTAGATGTACTAGATGATGAAGTTGCGGTCTGTTGAAAGTTTATTCTGTAGCATATAATAGTTATTAGCTTCAGTGGATAACCAGTTCTTGTTTTCTATCATGGTCTGTCATAGTACAACCCCAGCAACATTACTATTCTTAGTAAAATTTGACATCTTTTTTCAAGCTTTGATAATCTTGCAGCAAGTCTTAATATTTTTATGTTCAAAAATGTTGATTTCTTTCAAATTGTTTGAATCTTTTTTGTTTTCTTAGGAGAAGCAAAAGCGAATGCACCCTGTGTTATATTTATTGATGAATTAGATTCTGTTGGTGGAAAGAGAATTGAATCTCCAATGCATCCATATTCAAGACAGACTATCAATCAACTTCTTGCTGAAATGGATGGGTAATTGAGTCTTTGTTAAATATGATGAAATAGTTTGAAAATTAGCATTTATCATATTTTAAAGATAATTTAGAGACTTGGATTTATACAAGTTGTTCTTATGAAGGATTTGGTAAAAATGTATAGGTGTTAAATGTTACATGTTTAGGCAATAGTGTCAAAATTTTCTTTCAATACTGTTTATATTACTAATTGATGTATGAGTTCCTCTCATTCATTTATTCTATTATATATATAGGAAGAAAAGAATGACTCAAGCAAAACTGGTCTATTTAAAGAAAGAAATGGTATATAGGTATAGCTCAGTGGTGACTCTTTTGTCTTTAGTATACATGAGTACCTGGATTAGGTCCCAACACTAAGTTAAATGCTTTCCTTCCCCAAATAAGGGATAATCAACTAGTTTCTATATAGTTGATGACTGAGTGTTGTGATCAAGTTAAAGCTTATATCAATGTTTATAATATAAAAGGAAGAAATGTCTTGAATGAATTATCTTAAAGTCAGTGTGTATTGTCAATTTAGACATTTTGACTAAATAGTGGTCTAGTACTAAATAATTTGAATTGCTATACTTGAAAATAATATTTCAGCATTTAAGAGGCTCCCAAGCCTTTTATGTGAGATTGTTTTCCTAAGTAACTAACAGATGGTTTATGATTTATGTAACCAACGATTTATTTTCAATTCAGGTTAACAGTGAACAGTTTTGTATATAGGTACGTTACATGTAAGCTGTACTTCTGTTTTCAGTGAAATGATACGTTTTATTTTCTCTATAGGTTCAAGCCCAATGAAGGAGTAATCATTATAGGTGCCACAAATTTCCCAGAGGCATTAGATAAGTAAGTATGCAAAGAAGAATTCTGTGAAGAATATATGCTACAACACTATACTGAGCGAAGCCTATCACAAAACACTATCTTCCACAGTTCCATTTATAGGAAATGTTTAGACTAAGCAAATCCAGAGACTGAACTGTGGTTGCCAAAGGCTTGGAGAATTATAACCCCAACCAGTGGACATAGAATTCCTAAAGAAGAAAATAATTCTAAAATTATAACAAAGTGATGTTTGCAAAACCTAAAATATTAAAACCCAAGTGGATTATTTACTTTTATTTCAGAACTGTTAGAATTACTTCTCAGTAATATTGAAAACATGTATCACATTTAAACAGAAAGCATTTCAAAAGTGAGATTTATAGCATGAGAAGTTTCTGTGGGAGTGGATCTGG